ATGTTTTCTGTTTTAAAAGGGGAGCGTGATGTTTTGAACGACTATACAGCTTTATGAAACTAAAATTTCGAGTCTTTCAATTCGATTGGATACATTTCAATAAATTTACATCTGCTATGATTTAATAAATTATAGTAACTAATGCTTGCCTAGGAAGATCGAGAAAAAAGAATTGTATCTGTAAGACAAGGGGTTAGATTAGCTGAAAATATTATTGGAGTTGTGAAGAAAGCTACTAAATCTCAATGATCTAAAATTGAATAAATTCAGTTTGAAGATTTTAATTTAAAAAAAACAAGTAGCTTCAATTTTTATATAGGGTGTACTTTATCTCTTATCTTTGTTTCACAATTTTTAACGATTTATTTGACATTGTTATAAATTTTCTTGCACCTCAGCAATTTCCTATTTTTCTACCTCATTTCCGTTTCAAACAAGTCTAAACTACAAGTTAATAAATTTGTATAATAAAGGTAATAGAAATTATGAGACACGTACTGTATCTGATTAACTTCTGGACTAATTTATAATATAATTCCGTACAACTTTTGTCCAATTATTCGTTGAAAGCAGCCATTCGAAATGTCGTTTTCATCGGTGAAATAAATCGTCCAACAGTTTCGTCGCGTCGGACGCAAATTCCGCACGTTCGTTCCGAAATTGCCCTCTTGCGAAACGAGAGAGATTCGTTCACGATTGTGGGTTCGAAAGGGCAGGGTTCTCCTCGGGAGGCGAATTTCGTCGCAGGTGGTTGTAGTTTATCTCGATTAACCATCGTCGGGACATATCTTCGGCGTTGATAGGAGCATTTGAAATCTGGCGAGCTCGGGTCCCGGGAACGGGACGTGATTGCAAAGCACGACGGAAAAGCTTGATGCGCGCATTCAACGCGACTGACTATTTCCACGCACACCCGTCTAGGAATCCTATTTTCCCTGACAACGCGCGGCGTTACCTTCCCTTTCGTAAATCATATTCGCGGTAAGTTCATTACATTCCCCTTCGAACAGAGACGAATCGCGTTTGTGGAACGTGACGTGAGTGTCAAATAGGAATAAATATACCTTCGTCGTCTCTGATTTTCGAAGTCGCAGTCTTGGGAACTAAAAGATTCAGACTTTTTGGTGGGGTCGAACGGGGACGAAAAGTTGAGATTTCCAAGACGAGAGAGTTGGAAACGGGAAAGATCGCGCGCGAAATGCGACGAGGAACGGAGATTCGGATTTCGAAGAGGGAAATTGGAAACAAGTTGTGTGCAAAGGAGATCAATTCCAAAGGAAATTGACAAGTTTCGGGAATTCGGGGAATTCGATAAGGAAATTTCGAAGTAAATTTCTCGACAGACGTTTGGGAAGCGACAGACATATGAATCATTTACATTTTATAGATCAGACGTTTGAAAGGAAAATTCGGTAATGTTACGTGCAAGAGATAGATTTCAGATGAAAGTGTGAAAATGATAGAAATGAAACTATTCGAGTTTTAGACGAATACTGTATTTTTCAAGTGGAAATATTTTTTGAAATGTTTTCAAGTTGATCGATCATTTTTAGAAACGGTGTGTGACTCGAATATTAAACGTAGAGATTCAATTAAAAAAAAATTTTGAAGTACATGTAATATAAAATTACAATACAGAATAAATGTTCAAATAAAAACTGCAGATATCTCATTATCAAACGCAAAATAATTAAAATAAATCTCGTAAATGATTTTCATTCAATCAACAATTCAATTCAATTATTACAATCTCCGTTTCGCTATTAAAATTTAAACACGTGACAGAAATATTCGATGAGAAATCAACAAGCACTAGAACATTTCCTATAAGACAAATATTATATATTGTACCTTTAATTAAAGAGAAACCATTTATAATACTGACGATTCAATTCACAATATGATTACAGTATTAACGTACATATTAATTAAATGCATTCGATAACATTGCTTTGCTGTTCCTTAACGTTACACATACGTGGGAATAATGATTACGTATCTACGACTAGAACAGAATTTTACGTTTAAAATTGTACAACGATGTTTATTTATAATCTACCGCCATTAAAGTTATCGTAATAAAATTATTACACATTTATCGTAGAGTATGCTGTAGAATTAGAAAAAATTATGTTTCGTTTATTGTTATTGTTGTTGTTGTTGTTGTCGTGAAAGTATGAGAAAATTCGTGTTAGCAAAATTTCGTGTATTTATAAATTAACGGCGGAGAGGAACTGCCGTGCACGAGTGGACAAAATCTTAAATTCTATCAAGAGCAAAGTAGATAGTAATTGTCCCTGTTATTTCGTTATTCTCCTAAGTACGCTTATCATTTGCTTACTTACTTTCGAATACTATAAATATCATCTTAAAAAGAAAATTGGACGTTTTTTTAATATGTCTTTCACATAGAAAAGTCATACAGTATTGTCATGAAAGTATTCGAACATTTATCAAAAGAATTCCATGTACGTACATATGTATATATTGTAAAATATTTTGACATTTCATTAAATCTGTAATAAGACACGAGTGTTATAATTGGATTTTTACGTATTTATAAAAACAATTTTAAGTATCTGCGATATTTAAGATGTAAAATCTTTTTTTTTTTACTTTTTATATTATAAATATTTATATTTATATTTATAACAGAGGTTTCTGTCTTTTAAATTATATTCACACAACGTGATGCAATCATAATGCTAAAATCTGAATAGTATATAGTCTGAAAATGTATATAGGAGTTAGCTACAAGATATTCATTTAATAAAAAATTTAATATATGACGTGAATATTCATTAATATACAAATAAGAATTTTCTGTAAATATTCGAACACTTGGGTCAACAACTGTATTTCTTACAATTAGTATAATATTCGAGATAAGTGACTTACTATCTTCTTGGTGTATCAGTAAACAAATTAACAACTTTAAACGATTCATAAATCACAACGATATATTTCGGATAAAATTTTTAATAGATCTCAATAGATTTTATAAATCAAAGATGCAACTTTCTAAACAAATTAAATAACAGCTATATATTTGAAAAGAATTGCTACGTCGAGAAAGTAAGAGATAATAGTTGATCATGTTAGTCGTACTATTATTGTGCCTATTTACACGTCGATAAAAGTGTTTCATCTTCGTAAATTCAGAAAATCAAGATGCAAGCATTAATTATCGTTTGACATGATTCAGATAGGATGTTATTTACGTTTGTACAAAATTCCTCTGTATGTCGCATAGAGTAACAGATAATTTTCGTTTCTTGCATCTTTGTTCTTTGTTAGCAAAATACATTCTTTACATCACAGTATATATTATACAAGATTATTATCAGCGTAGTATTTCCCATTCGATATCTTCCTTAAAGGATTGAGTGCAGCTCACTTAAAACTAGTTTGAAAGTCGTTGCTTATATAATATTAATACAATATAAATATTATGTTTTAATTTCCATCTTAAAATTACGTACTAACGTTGATAAAAAATATTTTTATATTTCTTTCCTTACGTTTTATTTTTCTTTTTTCTTTTTCTTTTTCTTTTTTTTTTTTGTGGTCCAAAATTAAATCTTTCGAAGTATGAAACAAAATTTTTCGTGATTATGAGAAGAAAAGATAATTACACGTATAAATACACGGAATTACGTCGTACAAAAATATTTAAAAGTCGTTCTGTCGAATGAACTTCTCAAACGATTAGATATTTCGGCAATAAGTGAAAAACTAAATTTTTTGATTAATTTCTTCTTTCTTTTGTTAAAAGATTTATAGAGTTCAGTTGAAAACGAATCTAGAATATGTTTGTTGAAATTTCTTTTAGCATATGCTTGTTGAACATGTTTTATATTTAGGGTTTTATACTTTAGAATATGCTTATTCAAAATCATATTAAAAATAGAGGAATTAATAAAAAGGAATGATATTTATTTATATTTTACGTGTAGAGTACATTGTAATTTAGTATTTAAATTCCAATAATTTCACTTGTTCGTAAATATGTATTTCTAGAGTTCAACGTTATTATAAACAGAACAACGAATTTTTTTTATTATACTGTATAGTAAGAACTATACACAGAACCAACTTTCCTTTTCATATTTTTTAGTCTTTCGTTTGAAACGTCATTTTAGAATTTCGTTCTTCCTTAATTTCTGTAAATCTTCGTGTTATTATTCTTCGTTATTCTTTCATTTCACCTTCATTTCTTCCTCGTTCTTCAGAAATCCCACCAAAATATTTCTTCTAGTTAGAACTGTACAATTAAATATTTCGTCACCTTTTTTCTGTGATCGAGTTACTTTTCCATAATTGTTCAGTATGTATAGTATATTATTAGACGTATAATGTAAAATAATATTTGTTTAAATAATTTTTGTCTCGAGGATCTAAGTGAATGCAGTGAATTTTATTAATAATTTTGACATCACGATGTTCGAGAAATTGTTGCAGTGAATTTTATTAATAATTTTGACATCACGATGTTCGAGAATTGTCTTATACTTTCTCAGCGTCATTGTACTAATTGTTTTTTAATATATTAAAATATTTAAAATATTTGTTATTTAATATATTAAAATATCGTAGTCAGTACGGAAACATAAATTTTATTCATTTAATGAGAAGCGGTGAACTAAACGATGACGATGTTCAAAATCACAAAAAAATTTGGACAATGTGCAAGTTATGTTAATTTTATATGAAGTATATACATGTACAATGTGTATATCCAAAATATACAAAATTACCATAAATTTGACGTAACTTGTTCATTATTCCAATTTTTCTACGATTTCAAATCTCGCGTATCGTCGTAACAAATCTATGTTTCCAGCAACTACAATAATATATAACTTTACATTAACATTAATATTAATTTCAATATCAATATTTTAATATATTAAAATAACCATTCATATTCCAGTTTCGTTATAAATAAGCACGTTGAAATTTTATTTACTTTCTCTTTACTTACCTTTTAAAATTAAAATTCACTCGGATTATAATTACAAATGAGTATGTTCAAATAAATATTAATATGTTAAAAGACAATTAATTCGTATTGTAGTGGCCGAATATTTATTAAGGGCCACAGTAACATTTAAAAATCGAAGTTTCATCGATCGTTTAGAAATCTTCGTTTAAAATCGCGAGGCAAACGATACTTTGTCCCTTTGTTGAAGCTTGCAAATTCTACGTCGTCCTCTGGCCTGTAATTTCCACTTGAATCCGTTCATACGAATAGTCCGATAGAAAACGATACGAAGAACGAGACTCGTGTTCGACGATATTAATAACGCACAGTTCAACGCTGCATTTTTCACGCTCGATCTTGAAACAAATGATCTTCAACGTTCACTTCAGTTGCACCAACACCATGAAATAGGTGACCATAGCTCCCAGCACCTAGAAGATTCGTTATTTTTCATCATTTTCGACATCAGTCCTTTCACTCTGAACTGAAGTCACTTTGTCGTAATGTTAAAATTTCAAATTTCACGTCGTGAGGCATTTAAATATAGTGTGTCATTACCGAGGCGAAAAGATCCAGAGAGACGGTGAAGAACTTCGCCCCTGAAATCGACATCGCCTTCTGGCACTGTTGGCAAACGATTTGTACAAAAGTTTTCGCCTCCTCTGACCCGTCGTACCAATGACAAGAGTAAGCGGCTTCCATCACTGACGAACTCTGCGTGCGATTTAAAAAAAACACATGTATTATTGTATTCTGACTCGTACGACATTATGTTGTTACGAGTTTCGTTCTGACTATCGCTGCGATCATGTGTGATAAGTTTTCATGAAGATGTATTATTTTCAGTACGTATATTATTATAATGATATATATAATATATTATAATATTATAATGATATATATATATAATATATTATAATATTATAATGAATTACATATATATAATATATATAATGATACTATCACTCAGTATATATATTATTAAACTTGAGTGTATTAAACTATGGATTTCTATGCATTTATGGGAAATTGGAAGTCACAAATTTTACTTCTATGGTAATTTAAAAATTTAAAAATTAAACCCTCAATTAAATAATGAATTACATATATATAATATATATAATGATACTATATAATATATATAATGATATTATCATTCAGTATATATGTTATTAAACTTGAGTGTATTAAACTATGGATTTTTATGCATTTATGGGAAATTGGAAGTCACAAATTTTATTTCTTTAGTAATTTAAAAATTTAAAAATTAAATCCTCAATTAAATAATGAATTACATATATATAATATATATATAATGATACTATCATTCACTATATATATTATTAAACTTGAGTGTATTAAATTATGGGTTTTTATGCATTTATGGGAAATTGGAAGTCACAAATTTTACTTCTTTGGTAATTTAAAAATTTTAAAATTAAACTCTCAATTTACTATGTTATTGTGTTCAAAAGTTGCCTCTTTCATTTTCTCTCTCTTTTTTTATAGAAAATATATTTTTTCCAGTTAATATATCTAGTATCCAACGAGGTACATAAGTTGATTTAGAATATCTTGGAATCACGGTAGTAGAGATCATTTGACAAATGTACGAATAATTATTGCAAATCAGATTTACGAATATATGATATCTAATTTGCATTTAGAATGCATTAAATAATACATAAAATATTATTAAATATTAAAGATTATATTAGAAAATTGTATTTCGAAATATACGATCTGCTGATTTGAAAGATAAGAACGACTTGGCAACTTTTATACTATTTTTGACGGTATACTGAAAATTCCAGATTCGCAAGCTACGATGGGAACGATTTACAGTTTTTTTTTTTCCTTTTATATTATTCTTTATAAAAGTATATTGGAAATTCGAGAAATTTGTATCGTAATGGAATAAATAGTGTATTCTATAGATAATCCTTTATAGATATACCTCTTCGATGAGACGATTTCCAAATATGCACAGCATGAAGACCTGCCCTAGGGAGTACAATAAGTAACCTATTACCGATGCTGAATACGTATCCACTCCGTGTATCTGCAAGATAAATCAGAATTTCAGTTTCTTTTTTTCTTATTGAAAACAGAGTAAAACGGACTTTTGAATTTTCCAATTTTACGCTATAAAATATACTTGTTATTACAAATAATTTATAATTAATTGAATAATTACTCGGATAACTTTGACAAATTGTATATTAAAATATAAATTACGAATGTATACGTATATTTTATTCCATTTTATTCTAATTTTATTTTGTTTTATATCAAAAGAAGGATAAGAATTTTCGTTAAATTCTCTATATTACCTTCGTTGCTTGATAAGCAAGTAAAGTTAATGTGATGGTGGTGCATAACATGTGCAGCAGCAAAGCAACACCGTACGCATCTCCAACTGCAGTTACCAATCTGAAAAGTAATAAATTTTAATTTTAATTTTAATGTAACAAAGATTTTCTTAGTATTCTTTTTATATAACGATACAAAATTTTCCACGATGATATATGTTAGATTTCGTCAAATAACAAACTATGTTAGTTGATCGATTGTATATTATAGCTATCGATGACTATAATATAAAACTTCTATCAGAGAATTTAAAATTAAAGAAACACAGAAGCTTTTTAATGTATCAGTAATATTTGTATCTGTGTTTGCATTATTTCTATTAACAATAATATTAGTTCTTTCCAATTATTATCCATCAATAAATTATGAATCGGTCATTTCTATTATTTTAATAAGCTCTAGCGTTGAACGAACTTGAATCATTTCGTAGTGCGTTTCGGTGTTTGTTTGCGCTCATTGTACGCTCGTAACTCTCGTTAAACGCTGAAACTCTTAAAACGCAATAAACCCAATTTGTTGGTAAGCTCCTGTGGCTACGATATAACAAAGTTTTAATTCGACCTAGTTCACTGGATGAATGCATTTAACCAGGTGGTTAAAGTTTATGATTGACCATCTCTCTCTTCCTCTCTCTCTCTCTCTCTCTCTGTCTTTTCTCTTTATTCTCCTCTTTAGTGTCTAAATACAGTAGAATCTCGATTATTCGAACTAATTCTGTTTAGAATGATCAAACAATCGAATTTTTCGGACAATCGAACGACTCACATTATAAACACATTACACATTTATCATGCAATGTATATTACATGCATATTTTTTTGTCAAAGTTATTAATTTCTCTGAGGTTACGTAATATTTATCCAGACAACGGATGCTCGGATAATCATAGTTCTAACGTAATACGATTCGCCAGCGTATCGTCAAGTTAGCTGTAACCAAGTTGAATGATCGATACTTTCGAGTGTTTTAAAGGAGAAGAATAAGGCGTTAGGTGTTCTTTGGTGTACTATTTTCTTGACGCACTCGATTCTTTCATCCCTCTTTCATCCTTCTTCACTCGTTGCCGTCAAAACTTTTATCAAACTTTAAATTGAGGAGGAAGAGATGATTCCTTCTTTATTTTCGTCATCGTAGCATTGTCGCAAATAATTTTCTTGAAAATTTCCAGCTTTGAGAGAGGGAGAATCCATTGATCCTTCGCTTGAATCTCGTTGTCACAAAATATCGTTTTCCATTAATTATATTTACATCATTTAGCTTCGAGGAGGAAAAAAAATTCCTTTCCAGTTAATTACTATAATAAAGTAATAATTTTTTTTTAGCATGGTTCACACTAATCCTTAGTGGGCAATTATTGTTTATAATTTTAATTTTTTTATCGTTCTAGACTTTCAGAAAATGTCAAAAAAACATTTTGAATTACTTTAAAGTCTTTACTGTATCATACAGTCAGATTTTTTTTACATACAGTCAGATAAGATTCTTTAGGAAAAATAAACCTTTGCGACTGAGTGAAAGAGGTTGTCTACAAACAGTTAACGTACAACGTATTTAATATAAAAATTACAAGGAATAAGTACAAAGTCTCTTATAATTTCTGAATATAGTTTTAAATTTCTTTCGAACTTGATCAATACAATCATTACAAAAGAATTATATATGCTCATTTTTTTTATTATTATTATGTCAGTTTTACGCCAAGGGACAAATTAACCCACAATTTAACGTTGTTTAGACGTTAATTGTTTAACTTTTTGGTCACTCTCGTGGATTTAAATTGCACCACTAGTAACAATTACACAGACATTTAATAATGATTTGTGGCGATAAATGTGGCTACATGTTAATTTATCAGATTTAATAATTGAAACAGGAGTTAACCTTAAATTAAAATCTCCTAGATATAACATATCATTTGCATTTGTTTGATCAGAATTAAAAAAAATTAAAATCTCCCAGATATAACATATCATTTGCATTTGTTTGATCAGAATCGAACGATGTCGATTGAATTCTAATTTTCTCATACGAAGGATTTGAATGTTTTCGAATGCTTGCATTTGACCGGAAATTTTTTGCCAGGAGTAATAACCCCTGAAGAGTCTAGTTGGGGATTAATGATTTTTGAAATATCTTGTGCAACACACGTACATATGTACGTGCATTGCGATTCATTTGTACATATTCGAACACTTTCGTGAAGTCGACTGTACGACTGTAACAAAGACGAAAAATCGTCGTGACGTTGACGGCCGAATACTAGCAGGTGTAGGCAACAGGTATTCGTGTGTTTTAGGAAAGGCGCAGTAAAGATTCGGGTGGCGGCCGAAGAGCAAACATCGAACACATTCTGTATTCCGTTCCATCGTTGAGTAAGACCAACGAAACGTGTACATACACGTGTCAGACACGTATACCGGTGCACACGTGAACGCGAGCAACGTACAACCCCTGAATTGTCCAATAAATTGTCCAGTCCGCTCGGTACGTCCCCAGTTGCGGTCAATATCGCGCTCTCTTAGAATAAATACTTCACCACCGTGGGAACACACGCATCCCCTTTGTTTCTCCGCTTGTCGAAGAATCTATATAGAACGTGGCTCGGTTTTCTTCGCCGTCTTTGAAAATTTCCTTTCTTACGACTGGACGCGCCGCTCGGCTGTTTCCTCCTCGTTTTCAAAGATTCCCGCCCTCCACGTGTGAACCCGGAAACGCCGATTCTTCCGTGTTGTCGCGGTAAAATCTCTCTCCTTTTTTTTTTTTCTTAAGACAATAATATCTTAAGACACATGCACAGATACTCGCAAGTTTTGCTTTTTAATTTTCATTTTGTTTCCTTAACTTATTTATCAGTTTGCAGAGGTTTTTAATTGAAATGTCAGAATTTTGGGTTAATGTAGATTTCAGGCGTTTTAAATCTTTGCGTCAATTGTTTTGACATTGGGAGTTATACTTAGAATAGAAATTAAACGTTACGATTTCGATGTTCTTACATTTTGTTTCAACGTTGGTTTGAAATTAAAAGTTTTGACGTGATTGTTGCATCGTGGTATCTTTACGTTGAAACGATAAACTGGTGTTTTATTATTTTAACATTATACCTTATGTTTTACGTGTTTATGCGTTGAAGGTTCCAATTTAATTTTAATTAAATTTCAATATTTCAATTTTGATTATTGAGAACTTAGGAAATTAAACTTTTAAAATTTTTTGCGTTATCATTTCTCCGTTGCTAGCATAATGTCGCTTTTATTCATCTATTCGGTTAGACATAAAACATACCATTCTTTCCTTCGCAATAGGATAATTTAGTATAGAAAGTATAGGAAATTTTACACCTGCGTTAAATAATGCGACGTTAACCAAATTACGAGTTCTCGCAAACCGACGAAATTTAACTGACCATTTAAGTTTATTGGCACGTGAAATTTACGAATTGGAAGAAATTACTCGGCTGTTGAACAGCAAATTGCTTTACGAAACGTTCAATTAACCATTGCTATTTATTGTCACATGAAATTAATGTAACGAAATATATATCGTTTTAATTTCGATCTCTCGTCTGTCCGTTTCACAATTTATCTTTTATCGAAACCGAATTGAATTTTCACGAATAAATTATTTGCGAATTCCAGTTCGAATTTCGATAGCAACGAATTTCGGCAACGTTTCATTTTTATCTATTGTAACGATGGAAAACATTTTTGTTAAAACAGATTTTCGTTTCGCCGATGGTATTAAACGCGTTCAATTCTGTAACGAATGCATTTGTTTCTAACTAAGATTGCCCCGCGCGACGTGAAACCTCGAGTAAACAGAATATTGATTCCGCGTTTGCGTATACAACCGGAGGAAAAACATTTCTGTGCTTTTTTCTGAATTATTCACCGGGAGCAGAGTGAATATGGATCGTACTCGTGAAAATTCCAAAGCGAGATGTACTACAATAGATCAAAATTGAAAATACGTATGTATATTTTTTCAACAACGTGTCCTGTTCATTATTCCCATTTTTCGTCCTCTGTATTTTCTCCATTTTTTAATTTTTTGTCGTTCGTATTGTTTCCCTTTGTGATCTCCTTCTTTTTCATTTTTCATTTTTGTTTTTTCAGTAGAGAAATCTCGAAACAGAGGACTCGTGCGTTTTAATATTTTTGTGATATTTTGGTCTCTCGCTCTTTCTTTGCCCGATTTTTTGGCTCGCCGAAAATTTGCACCGCGTCGTGAAAATTTTTGCCTTTCATATTTTTTCTTTTAAAATTTCATTTTCGCAAATGAATAATTCAACGTACGATTTAAACTTTTAATTTTTATTTTAATTGTCGAAACAGTGTGTTTTACTTTATATATTCATTCAATCCCGTTGCCACGTTATTTCTTTGTTTCGATGCAACTTTACATCGATATCTGATAAATAATGGTAATTTATGTAAAAACTTTCGGTCAATTAAGATTACCCTGTACAATTCGATCCTTCTTGCTCTCGTTGAATAAGCAATGCAGTTCTAAACATTTATGCGAAGGGTCTCGATCTTCGTTAATTCGAAATCACGTTTCTCGATTGAAAACTTAATTAAAAAAATATTACTTGGAAATGATTTAGATCCTTGCTTTAGTCTTCAAATAAAAATGATAAATCAGTGGAATTTTTATAATAATACTTGTCCAATCCTGGCTGTTATGACAAATTATTTGTCATTTATTTGAACAACGTTCGAATTCACTCGAGCGAGAAATTATTTAGGGATGATTTATCAGAGTTACACACTAAATAAAATTACTTTTCCCTTTACTTGTTATTGTTTCATTAATTACCTGAAACAATTATTCGTCCGCTAATTTATTAATAATTTATAATTTAATTTCTTTCTTACCGATCTACATCATGAACACTTCAAATTGTTATTTTTCATCCTGTTCGAAAAGTGGCCTAGCCTGTTTCAAACATAAATAGATCTTCCAGCGTAACCTTTTATGCAGATTAAACTGTTCAATAGTTTCTCGCGAGTTTTTCAACGAGAGAACCAGTTTAATGGAAAAGAATTTAGCAAACTGACACCGGTTGAGTGGAGATGGTAACGAAATCGCGCGAATTTACTTATTCACCTGGCACAGGGATTATTATCCTAATGGAAGTCTCTCGTTGTTAAGATTGCGAATGTGAAAGGTTCTCTCATTGTCGACGTAGATTACGTTTCCGCGTAGAAACGAACTGGAGATGAGAATCGAAATGGGAAACTGGGTTCTACCCGTGGTAGTGAAGACGTTGACGAACTTTGAAATTGCGACGACGTGCTGCAATTTCACTTCGCCGTTGGAAATTTTATTTTTCAACCGCGAGAGAAATTGGTCTGTTGTTTTGCTACTTTACCTTGTCATCGATGTCTGATTTTTACTTCTCGACGAGGAGCACATTTTTCTGTTTCTTTTTCAATTGTAATGGAATATTTATAAGCGGCGAAGGAAACTGATAGTTTTTATGTGGAAAGTTATCGAAATTACATTTAATTATGATTGTACAACGATATATTTTTAATTATACCTAATCATATGCTTAACTATAATTTAATGATGCAAAATTAATAATTTTTAAAGTTGAAATTAATAATTTTCCCAACTATACGAAAAATTCGTTGAATCAAAAGCTTATTAAGCTCGTTGAGCATATTTACATGCAAATCTTTGATACAAAAGTAACTTTTTACAACTATTTTGTAAAATAACTTTTGTACAATCATTTTCCAAATTTGTTCTTCAAATTTAAAAAAAAAAAACAATGCTTGTACAACACCATCGCTTCCTTCTATTTTCCGATTTATGAATTTGGTCGGTGTGACGTGCGTAAAATATGATGAAAATCAAATTGTGCCCTCTGAAAAACATTTCAACAAAAGGTTTCTACGTACCTTACGATATGTTTGTGTCGCTCTACCCAGTATTTGATGGCACTGCGAACCAGCATCTCTTGCTTCTTGGTCAGTCCATTTGGCCCCACGCCCCCGTTGAAAGTCATGCCAGCAGTTGGTCGGAAGGTGGCTGTGAAATCAGTTCTGTTGCTGTAAATTCCCCGAAGATCCATGTCCAACATGTTTTCGCCCTGTGGTGGCGTGGGTGGCGGCAGTGGCTCAGTCTCTCTTGGATGTTCCGCGCTACCAGCCTAAGTGCAATAAACAAACAAACATTGAAAAAAACGTAATGGAGATATTTAACTGCCAAAATGGCCAAAATGACCAATTTTTAATTTCCGATAGAAATTTTATAACACAACATTTTATATATTTATAACGGTACATTTTTAAAGACTCGAAACGAGTTTTAGTAAAAACGTAAAAATAGAGCCTTGTGTTCTCTGTCGCGTTATAAATTTTGCGCTTTGATTTTTCTGCTACAAAGTTTACACTTTAGTCAGTAGGTAGTTCTAGCGTTAATATATTTGATTATTTGCCTCGATTTAAATTATTCCCTCAAAGAGAAGATTGTATTTTCTTTAAAGACGGAAAACACACTAATGAAAATTGACTAATAACAAATGAGCAAGTAAATTCATCTACATTTTCGTATCAGACTTTGACGCTACGTTTTTGTTGATCTAAGTCGCTAATGCAATCAACACATAATAAATGATAATGGGAATTAATAACGAAAGCTAATAGATAGATATAACAGTGAATGGATGATAAAAGTATCCGTTTTACGTAGAAATTTTAAACACAACAAAGTTTTCACACAGTTTACCTTGAACAATTCCCCGCTGTTTGGCACAACAGTGTCCAACGTGGCGCTGAATTCCATGAGAGGCTTCATGATGTTCTTCAGATGTTGAATCTGCTCGCAGGCGAAGAGGAGCCACGAGCAGAACAGCACGTCCAGAAGATTTGCGTCCGCCATGCAAAACAGCAGCCAGTAAAATTGGAACACCAACGTCAAAATGTGAGCGATCCCGTGGCTCGGATTGAACGGATACCAAGAACGAACCATCAACCTCGGTATCTGGACAAAGGGACAAGTTGGCGATTAAAATTCTGAAATGGAAACTCCTTTTAGCTTCTTATTGCTAATTCGTTGCATCTAGTTAGTTACATTTAGTGGCCAATTTGCCGGCTTTTCCCAGCTTTAGCTATGTCTCTTTCTTTTCGTTTTGTTTCAAATAACTCCACATGTTCTCGCGAATTACGAGATCTTATTTTTATTAAAAAAAAAAAAAAAAAAAAAAAAAAACGCAGAACATTAGAAGCCAAAATTGGGAAGCTTGGCCATTTGTTGTTGACGTTAGTGAACGAATGATGGCAGTACCTCGACGTAGGTAGTTTCGTTCGTAATAGGATCGATGACTTTCTTCACGGAGTCACCGATGAAAGTAATGGTGGTCCAGGAAATGGCCGATAGTACCGTGGTGCCTATGACTGCCAGCAACAGTATCCTCATCTTCTTCACGGCGATCTGATGGTAACGCGCGTTGCTCTCGGCGAACAGTGGATGGCTGTTCGGATTGTTCCAAACGGCGAGGGTTCTGTAGAACAGTTTGCTCCTGACCGCGAAGTAAACGAGCTTGACCACGCTGTGCGTAAAGAACAGCATGGTGATGGTGTTTGCCGTGAGATCGTCCACGTCGTCGCTCTCCATCATTAGATTTATACCGCAGAAGCCAAATTGCATGAGGACCAGCACCAGATGCACCTTTTCGCGTCACAGTTAATTCCTCTATTAATTAATCTGTTTTTTCTGAATATTCATCCTTTTGTTTTCTTTCTTCGTATCATTTTTTCCAACGATCTTAGAATCATTACTTTTGAAACTCGACGACACAGTTAATCCTCATTCGTACCTTGTTTGACGCAGTTTGTTTTAAACAGAAATTTCACATCATTTTGCAGCAAATAAGTACGACAGTTATTTTTTCTAACATGTAGAGCACATTCTTGTGATTTTTGATAACAAAATATGCTGCCAGGGTATTATTTCAAGTATGTTGCTTTTTGATTATCAATGTGCCTTGTATAGTGTTTGAATACCTACTGTTGTAACCAGATGAAAATCCAAAATGATCGTGACGTTTGACAAAACTGAACGTACAGTTCATTACACGAAATTGAACATATTATGTCTGAGAGTACGATTTCCGTGCGAATATCACACGGGATAATAAAAATTTAGTCTGCTCTAATTTAATTGATAAAATAATTTACAAACCTAGCCATTTAGTCTTTCATTATGGTTAGTGCCATTTTATCTACTATTGCAGATACTTTTATCTTACCATTCCGTTAATTTAACACCAAGCTAGAAAAACAAGGCACGGATGAGGGTTAATTTGTCAATAAATTCTCTTTTCGTCTTCTTTCTGCTTTTATTTCTCAAAAATTGCGGAATTATCCCTTTCAAATCGGCGAGTACAAATTGTTTTGTTCATATCGATCGAGCAATAGAATAATTATAATGAATGTTAGAACTTTCTCTTATATAAGATAGTTTTGTAATAATCTCGTTAAGTTACACGTCTTACGTACGATGCAGAAGATTTTATGTATATGCTTCGTGGAACTGTCGGTGTAATAATTGAACATGAAGTGCCCGGTAGCTTTCATCAGCTTTATATTGGGCATTAAGTCCGCGACTAGCCCCTGTTGCTTGAACTTCATCATCTGAAGCAAAGAGTTTGAAAAAAATTTAATTATTAATAACAAAGGGTTAATTTCAACTGAACTCGGGCCAATAAAACTCGAATTCTCGTTTAATTAAACACTTTCGTTCTATATCGCTGTCGCGAGTGATAGAAAATTTTTAATTAAATCAATACGCTTTTCGATTCGTAAGCAGTAAACAAGAGTAAATGATAAACTCGTGTCAAAGTTTTCATCGTATCTGCTTTGAAATGAACTTTTAGGTATGCTGAATGTTATCTGATAGTCAAAAATATAATATAATATTATGTTGTTTTAGGAACAACGTTCTAGGAATAATATTTCATTTGAAAAAAGAAATAATAATAAAAGAAAAAATAACGGATAATATAATTATTATATTATATCCATTATTTAAATATTACATAAAATTGCGGATGTAACATATACAAAAATTAATTCACTATGTGAATTGATTAGGTAAGATACGCTTTATAATATCCCTTCACATTTGTCATTGCTGGCATTATGTTAAAGTCAAAGCAGTCTAAAGCTTTCAGTACTGCCAATTGTCTAAAGGATGTCAATAAAGCTCATTCAAACTTTCCTCGTGCACTCGTAGAAATATGAAAATCACATCGTAATTACGAGAGTTACATTCTTTTCTATTTCTGTTAATGAGCATGTAAATTATAATGATAATTGCAATTATAATGACAAATATGATAATTCATGTTTTTCGTTTCCTTTTCTATAATGTACACGCAAGAGGATTGTACGTATAGTTTAACAACCGATGCGTATCGTAGTTTCTACCCTTGTGATATTATTCATGAACGCGGTTAATTTCACATCTATCATCGTATTACCGATAACTTTCGCCGTTTGTAACCGGAGTTATACCCTATAATATAAGTGCAAAGTTTTGTGATTCTTCCTTGAACCCTAAAAACGTGAAATAAACAAATAGCAAGCAACGAGAATCCTCAGTCAAACGTTGAAAGGTCAAGTGTTGAGATACTTTTACAAATTAAAGTAAATTTTTGCAAGTATACTTTTATCAAATTTTCATGAGGCAGTGATACTTAACTTGTTAATTAATTCCGACGTGACCAATGTCAGAATCAATTTTAGATTTTCAATTCTTAGTTAGCATGACGTAATAACATTAATGTCAGAATTATCGATGACCCAAGTCTATAATTATAAATCGAAAAATTATGAATTTCGAACATTAGATGTTAATTTCGCGAGATCGTCGCGCAATTTCAAGGATACTGAATTAATTCTAATTTCGAAAGTACGAACTTCATTTAATAAAACTGTTTCATTTAATTGGCATTGCATTGCTCGGATGATCTGTTTCAATGTTTTACACATTTTCACGTAACTGTCTCTCTCTTTGTCTCTTCTCTAAAATACATCGATATTACCAGAATCTTTCGATCACTTTTGAATTCAATTCCAAAGCAATGGCTGTGCCAAGAGCGTCGAATGCGAGATCAAGCGTTAAAGTTACCCAATCGCGTCCTTTATGTTCTCCACGCCGGATCCAATCTTCCAGAAACTAAAAACTACTTTTCCAGAAGTCTCAACCAAGCTTGGTTCTTCGTTCAGTTCAACGATATCAATAATATCACGGTATCAATAATATCAAATCTTCCACAACTACGTGGAAACCTATATGTCACATTCCCATTTCAGTTCAGAACGATTCTATTTCGTTCAGTTCAACGATATCGCGATACCAATAAAAAAAATAACTAACATCAACCATCCTCCACAATCTTTCTATCCTTTATCAAGAATATTCGATAAGGAGATACTTCGCGTTTCTATTGAATTCGATACTAACAATGTCAAATCACAAACCTAACGTCAACCATCCCGATCACGATCTTTTTATTTTCTATCAGAAATTTATACGTCGCGTTTTCGTTCGAGTCAATGGTATCACGTCAAATCACTATCTTTTGTACTCTTTTTACTTGCTCACTTGCAATAAAGATGACAGAACTTAAAGGATGTGGCTTTTCAGTATTACTACGTCATACGGGGATGTTGTGAAAATTCTTTTTGATTAATTACGATAATCTTGTTTATTTATCTTCACAATTTGGCCAACAGACGCGTCTTGTGACTTTTATCCTACGACTGTATAATAAAATGAAAACTGTATTACCTTGCATTGTTGAACGAAATGATACTTAGACCGCGTTTGCTTAATTGACAAAACAATGTATTTACATAATTTTATATTCATCACAGTAATTGGAAACGTGCAATCCAAATAGGAAATTATCTTACCCATCAAATATATAATACAATGAGGAATATTATACTTTGAATATTTCCTGGATCCCCGCGTAATTAAAAATACGCAGTCTTCGTCGAAAACTACGTTAAATCTGTGGTGTGAAGATGGAAAAACGCCGCGTGTCACATGTCTTCACTTTCAATGATGTTGTCACTCGACGTTCACAACACCATCTGATCCATTAAATTGTGTCACTGTTTTCAATTTAAAAAACTTCTCACTCCATTTTTTTTCCCCCCGCTCTGAATCTGCTCGTGAATTTTCTGAGATTCCGACACGCGGTGTTTTTTTTTTTTTTTTCTTTTTTTTTGAAACATCGTAAGTTACTGTTAGGCTACTCGAATATTCTGTTTAACATTACGTGCGCACTGTGTGCTCCGATATCCGCCACGAACGACGTCGAAAAACTCCTAGCAGCTGAACGACTGAAAAAAATCTAACTAATCTGCCCTGCAAAACTTTTCAAGTTAGATATACATACGTCAGTTGCTTCTCTCTCTCTCTCTCTCTCTCTCTCTCTCTCTCTCGCTCTCTCACCTTGAAAAGGGTACGCGGCCGCGCGGTTCAAATCCACGATGATGAAAACGCGAACTCCACGCGAGTTCGCCGTGAGAAACGCGATGAATGCCGAAGGAAAACTGAGACACGAACGACCGCTGGATGGATGGTCACTGGGCCGGCGAGCGAGGGGTTGTTCTCCGTTCTTTCTTTTCTTCCTACCCCCCCGTGGTTGATGGTTAACCGCCACCTGTCGCCCCGGTGAAACCCCTCCAACGCGATGGGGTACCAAACGTGGACCAATCGGCGTCATAGCGGCCAAGCGCAGACGTTCCTCGAGCGGTTTCTCGCCCGGCTTTGCATCGTGCCTCGCCATATTGTTTCTTTTACCGTCGACACGAAGCTTCCTAATCGTATCAATTATTCAGATTTCGACGACTGGCAGCCGAGGGTGTACGGCGAGTAAGGCCGGCGGGAAATACGCTGCATAGGCGACCGATAAGAAGGTCTCGAACACGGTTATTCTAGAAAGTTTTGCGCTGCCTACGCGTTCGCGACGATTCCTCGAGGAAACGAGGGATATTCCCCTTGGTTTCTTTGCGGATGCCTTTTTTCCCTCGCTCGATTGGCTAGGTTAGGTCGGAGAGCTTGTAACTTTCTAATTGGGTGATTTGAAACTTTGTATTGGTAGATCGGAAATGTTTATGTTAATTCTGCACGCACGAGGGCAAGTACGTGGTTAACGGTAGAATCATCGGCGATCGTAACGTGGAATTTCCATCCAGAGTTGTTGAAGTAAACTGAATAAAAAACTTTATAATATAAAGTACACGAGCTTTTATTTATATGTATATATATATATATGTATGAAGGAAGATTTGATTTTAATTGAAAATTGAAATTTTGTAAATTCGAGATTCTTTTTGTTTAATTTATATCCTATTGAAATGCATCGGATTTTGTTGTTTTTCTTCGTTGAAAGTAGTGCATTATATTGCAAGAGAAGCATCAATCCCTTCGCTACAAAGTTGAACGGATTGAAATGTTACATTCTAAAGAAGGCATGGTTCGATGAAGAACATTGCAGCAATTCTTGCTATAGTCAACGAATACCCTGTTTATTTTATCGACATAAAGAAAATGTATCTCACAACACGCGCAATAGAATTACTCGCATGATTCTGCGTCTTTTTATTAGTATTTTACTATCGTATCCTGAATTTAAATTATGTTCTTTTACATTATATCAGTTTTTGAATGGTCTCAGATGTTTCTTGTTTCTTCAAAACCAACAACTCGTAATTTAATCTACATTGTGTTCATTCAAACATTTGTCCAAGTATTAAAATGACCGTAATACTTGAAGTCATGATTAACATGTTGATTGCCACACGAAATTTATATGAATTATTTTATATTTAAAATACATAAAAGTATTAAAGGAAATGACGATAAAAGGAATTACTTTCAAATAGAAAATAAACGAGTCAATTGTTGATCATTTTAAATGGTCAAAATGGTTTTACTATTACGTATTTCTTTCTGCAGTTCGCAAGAGATTCGCAATGATTGTAGCATAAATTGTCTACTGTCTCTTTTAAACTTTCTGTTCTGTTAGTGCCAGGAAATTTCGTAGAATGAAGAAATAGAAAATTCGATGAAAGAAAATCAGTTCTTTAATCATATTCTTACTTTTATACTTTAATGAAATAAATATACCAGGGTTGTTGTATGGAATTTTTTTAATGAGAAATATCGTCAACGTCATTGTTTAACAGTTGTCAATGTAAAGACGTGATAATAAATATTGAAAGACCACAACTACGTGAACATACGTATATGTGGTGTATCAATAATTTGCTGACAACCCTCATTTTAAGTCAATATGCAACATGAGTCAACCATCGGTGAAACCAATAAATCAGAACTGTTTTACTTAAATTTCATTATGTCATATGTTTCTTTGCAAGAAAAGTAACTTATGTTATTTCCAGTTTATATAACAAAAAATTAACAAATAATTAATCCTTCTTTATAATGAAAATTCTTTTTTTTATACATACAATACAACTTTCAATTCCAATTATCTAAATTTCATTGTGTCATGCTTTTATATAAAGATAATCTTTATCGTTTTATTTTACATAAATTTATTAATTAGTGAACACCTCATTTTCCTTTATAACAAAATTAATTCATATGTGTAAAATTAATAATTATTTTATTCTTTCTTGTAACAAAAATTTCTTTCGTCTCCCAGCACAGCTTAGAAACAAAGTGGATTGTATCTGCGTGTTTATTTATCATGCATAGTACGTTAATAAATCGAACAGCTTGACACATCTTTAGTTTCGAAGATAGAAAAAGCGATTGACACTGACTATCGATTTTCACTTAATCTCGATTTCTTTTCTCAAGAAAAAGAAACTTGCCGCGATAGAAGTCTTTGGTCTCATTTGCTTCATCTACTATTTATGCAAACGTTGTTTTTCCCAAAGCTTCTCGTCCTTTCGATCGTAAAACTGGAAGAAAATCTCAAGAGTGGTTAGTATCTAGGGTATGTTATAGATGTTCGTACATGCTTATTACAGAAGTTGCTTCAAACAACCTTGGCATCATTTAAGTGATCGCAGAAGACTCGTGATACCGAAGTTATGATTAATCAAAACACTTTCTGACAAGGTTTTCTCAAACACAGAAAGAAATGGAAATTTTCATTGCATATTCCTTTCATTCCTGATCTTGCCTAAATTTATTCAGAACGCCTTTGTCTAAGTTTATTTACATTCACATATTTACAATATTTTATTTTATTTTATTTTATTTTTTTTATTTTATTTTATCGAGAAATTCTGATTCTATTGAAGAAATAAAACACATTTCACAGCGTCACGTTGGATTTTATATACTATGAGAAAATTAAAATGTTTTTATAAAATCAAAAATGTAGAAATTACTTTAAAAGGCAATGACAGATATACGCAAGTCAATTGAAAAATACTTGAGATATATTTTCCCTGCGATTTGTCGTCGTTGAAGCTGCAAGTTGCAGAGACATCAATGCCGGAAGTGGAGCGAAGATTCATTCTCAATAAATTATGTACTCAGAGATACTGTATTAAAAAGAGATATCAAATAGAGAAGATAAAAATAAGTAATACTAACAAAAATGTTGAGATAACAGAAATGTTGAGAATACATTGTAATTTAAAAATACACAGCAACATAGGCAAATATAAGTATACATACGAGTATACTATTTATCATGACATAATAAAGTAGATAAAGTAAATTTATATACACATCTGTTCTCGATTCATTTAATTAAATTTAGAAAAATAGAAATTTATATAAGAATTCTCAGTCTCATCGTAACAAATACTCTTCTTTGGATGTTTGTATATATGTATATATTTTGCATATCATGCATGTTTGAAACATATGAAAATTCGAAGTTTAGCGAATAATCTACAAAACATCTAATGTACAATGTTTCCAATAATACTCGATACAAAAGACAATTTTCCATCGAGAGTCTGTTCCTTCAATCGCATTCTCAAAATATAAATCTGCATAAATGATTGTGTTTATTGTGTAAGATGAAATATTGATCGTAAAAGAGAGCAGTTTCGAGTGTCGTGAGAAACAAATGTTTGATCGGAAGTTAACACTCTTTTGTCTGTTTCAGCACCGTGTTTTATTCAGTTTATATCCGTCCTTCTCTCGTAGAAAGCAAACGGACGTATCTGTCGTTTACAGATCTTTCAACTGAAAATACGCTTTGTATTATCTTTTAAAACTTTGAAATACATCTTGCCATCGTTTTAACCAAGATTTTCCGAGGTATGAAAAACTTTGCAGTTTTGTTATTTCAATATTCACAAGTCAACACGTATATTTTTATTTAATGGAAATTGCAAATGTTTATTTTAGGAGGCAGCATGTTGCAAGAACATTTTCTGACAGTTTTGTTGGGCACAGTGCTGTCGATGACGCTGTCCTGCTCTGGAGTTGATCCTGAACGCTCGGGTAATGTATAAATATTTGTATAATAATGTTCATACGTTAGTATGTTTAAGTATATATAATATTTCAATATTCAGATATCAAAGTATCGTTTACAATATTGTTATTGTACTTAATCTTGGAATTTTTTGTTTAATTTAATCTTGCTACTAATTTTCATTGTTAGAGACTATAAAGTACAATAAAATTAAACATTCTAAGTTTTTGTAATCATCAGAATAATTTATCTATTATTCAACATATTATTGTTTGAGGGTTAATATTATTAAAATTATATTTTTAAAGTATTAAGTCGTAAGACAATTTTTACCGTCTTAATATTATTGTATAGTAAAATTATAGTTGCAGATAACTTTATGGAGCCATTTTGTACTAAACTTATAAAAATATCTTAACACTATTATACGACAAAATTATATTTCCAAATTATTTCACACTTAACTCGTTCTATAATCATTTCATTTCTTAACATTAAAATTATGAACGAAAATTCCAAATTTCATATTTTTCATCATCTTTCACCTAGATTCTACCATCTTCTGAAGATCAATGATTAAATTGGGATGCACATTTCTAATATTCTGACGAATTATTATAAAGTTACACGTTCAAGTTGTTTCACGGAGCTACTTCATATTGTACTAAGATTGTCAATTCTTTTAGGAAACATTCCAGCCACTTGGAACGTAGTCCCATCATTGGAAACCGTGCAGAAAGTTACGGCGGATCACGTTTCCAGTCCGAAAACGGAAGTGACCGGTATCGACAAAGGTTTGCAAATCTCAGACACAAAAGTGTCGACAAAGATCGTCGAACGAACGAGCCTCGCGGAAGCACCGCGCGAGAGAAGATTCGATTTTACGATGGAGAATATTGGGAATGATGCTCGATTCCCGAAAATCAAGGACGCCGATTTTGTAAAAGAAATGACTATCGAAACTGTCAGTCCTCTTCCGAAAAATGTCATTCTGATCATCGCTGAATCGGGCCAAAATCACGAGGATTTCTGGAAGAATTTCAAGACTTCGCACGTGTTCTCTGTTGAAGGAATGCTTCAGGTATGATTTTGCGTTTAGTAGTAATAAAATTCTAATATAAATTTAACAATTGAACAAATAAACAAGCAAATACGCACTGCGTGCATTGGTCCAAGTGAAAAAGAAAAATTTATTGTACAGATGATCTTATAATTAATAATAAAATAATTAGTTTACTTGTCAGAGGTTCAAAGAGGATAATAATATTGAATAAAAGGTACGTGTTAATTTTTTATATACTCCTCATTCGATATCAAACTCTCAGACTTCTGATAGCTTTAAGCATCCAAAGTATAATTTGATATTGTGAGTAATCATTTCTATACAGTACAACTTTAATGGAAATTTTCTTTGTACAATTTTATTTAAATTAGTCAGTTATTAACGTAGATAAAAATGAAGAAAATAAGATTTACGTCGGAGAAAGTAGAATTTGAACGTATTCAATTAGGAACCAGTAATAAATTCTTAAATTTAAGTTTCTAGAAAATACATTCTCCAATACAATTATTATTGATTCTTCTCCTATTCATATTGTTTCTTTGAAGTGAAAAATTGAAATTTGTTTTAGAGTTGTAACAGTGGCCAGGAAGACAAGGCAAGATTTTCCTTGAACGACGGGCTAATCTCTGGCAATAGGGACAAGAAACACGATTGCGAGCATCTTCTACGTTCAAACATTGCATCGCTGTTACTTTGGACTCGAGATGTTAAGGGAATGACTACAGGTTTGATTATTTCAAATTTACTTAAAGAAAATTTATTTGTAAATTTACTTGTAAATTTGTATTATGTCTTCTGATGATATTAACATTTTATTAGTCAGTCTATCATATAGTTATCATTATGAGTACCCTGTTATTATTATTATTAAAATAAATTTTATTCGTTGTACTACAAGTAAATGGTAATTTTAATGGTACGTACAAACAAATACAAAAAATGTTTTAATTTTGACTAATGAATTAACAACGATCCGCGTAGTGTTTGCATATTTAAAATTTGGAAAAAATAATATTTATATTTTTCTTGTAACTAGGAACATTATCGAACGCGAATTTCACCATTCCATCGCTGTTTGGGTTTGAAGAGTCAGTAGGACTTTCGAGAGAGTTCGATGAAATTGACGAGAAAAATGTGAAACCGGAAGTTCGTAAAGTCAGGCCGGAGGCTCGCAGCGACTGGCACGTTATCGACTTAGGGAAACCGACTAATCGCGTTTCCTCCTTGATGGCCGCACAAAATACTCGAGAAGACGGTGAGTTTCTTTTTATTGCAAAAATATAAAATAAAATATATAAATGATACAATATATAGAATATATAAAAAAATAAATATAAAATATATAAATAATACAATATAAAATCATAAAGTTTCAGATATAAAATATACTATATTATGTTATTATGTTACATACATAATAAGTTTCAGACTTAAAATATAAAAGTTTCAGATGTAAAATATATTATATTATGTTATTATGTTATATACATAATAAGTTTCAGATATAAAATATATTATATTATGTTACTATGTAATATACATAATATGAAAATATAAAGGCATAACACAAAAATATAATAAAATATAAAAATATAGTATATCATGTATGTATAGTGTATTATGACATTTAACAATACTTACATTTTAAAAGGTACTCCGAATTTTTCGAACATTGTTGATATTCGTTATAACATGAAAACGACACGATTATCGAGAGCCAATTTCCTGTTATAACGCATGTTTCATTTGCTACAAAACAGATGAAGCTGCGTGGAACGTGTTCGATATGTTCTCGAAAATAAGGCTGGTTCTGTTTCGATCGTTGCTGGAATCTCTCGGTAGAAGCGTCGCTTCCTCGGAGGATGCTACTCCTTCGCGGAAATCGCATCTTCTTCGATCCAATTTGCTGGACATGCTCGAGGAACTGACGTCCGTTGAAAACGAGAAAGGTTTCGTATTGGTCGCTTCGGTCCTTGCCAGCGAACTCGATTCCCCTTTGGAGTTTCTACAGCGCGAAGTAAATCATTTACCTGTTAATAAATAATATAATGCTCTCGATTGTGTATCCGTGTATGTGTGATTTAATTCTGTGGCATGTAGCAAGTCGAGACGAGATCAAGTAATTGTCCACAGAGATTGGTAGAGTTAAATGTTTTGCGAATTTAGATCAACTACTGAAATTTTTAAACGAGTACTTTTAGATATTTTTTTTATTTCATAACATATTATGTGTTTAACGAAGTATTGAAAAAAAAAAATAAATTGCATGATATTATTTGCTGTACTGTTTTTTCGTATGAAGTTATCTTGATAAAATTATGTACGCAAATAGAATTCAGAACCCCAGATAGATAACTAATATTTTTCAATATTTTTACCTTTCAATATCACGTATATAATATATTTTAATATTTCAATATAAAATATTGAAATATAAAAATATTAAAATATTGAAATATTGAAATATTAAAATATTAAAATATATTTTAATATTTCAATATAAAATATTTTATATATAATATATACAATAATAATGATATATATATGTATATGATATATAGAAAGAAACGTAGATAATGTACGAAATGTACTAGTTAAGTAAAAGCATGGTTGTAGCAATTTAATAATTTATTAATATCTTCAATTTTAATTTTAATAATTTATTTTAATTTTAATTCAATAATTTTCGTATTTGCTTTTCATGAAACATCTTGCAAAAAGAAAATACTGTGATATTCGTATAGTCATACACAGGTATAATAAACTCGTTTAAAGATACGTAGGTTAATTCTTCGTAAACTGTATTAATCCGTAGGATATCACTTTTAACTCTGTAAAGAATTAAATAATATAATTATAGGAAATATCGTAGCACGTATTGAAATGTGTCCGATACTGCTGAATTTTCATATCACACTAATTGCAAGAAATCATCTCTCTATCCATTTCTAGACTCTTTAATTCGACATGTGTAATTCTACAAATAAATGTGATAATTTCAGGCATCGCAGGATACGCTTCTCGTGGTGATTGAAACTTGTCCACACGATGGCAAACCCGTGCCATTCTTCGCCCAAGGTCCTTCCGCCAAAGTGCTTCGCGAAGCAACGACAATTTGGGACGTTCCAACTGCCATTAGACACATCATTGCTAGCTGGTGTCAGGACCCGAGCTGCAGAAATCGCCGACGCGACGTTATTTCATCGCCGATTACTCCGTTGAAGATCATCCCACGTAACGTGGCCGTATTGAGAAGAACGTCTCGGGACACTGCTAGAAAATCGGTGAGTCAATCGTTCAAAGTTGATTCTTTATTGGTAAAGTTTGTTAATTACAAATCATTGGTTAGACAGCGATACTTAATTTTCAAACTGGAAATTTATTTATTTTCCAGTGTTGAAACTTGAGTTACGTTGAATCGTGCAAAGGATTGTGTGTTTTTTTATTGGAAAAATTTATTTCAAAATTAGAAAAACAGTTTTTAATCGTGAATTGGTTTGTTAATGTATTAGGAAAGATTCGAATCAAAGTCAAAAGATCAGAGACGTTTGAGAAATAGACGCGATGAAATTCTTATTTGGTGACAAGTAGTACGTATTAATCGTATTGACTGTCGTTCATTATAGATGAACGACAAGGATAGTACATAATAATAAATGAAGGATAGAGATAGAGGTGAAACGTTCGTTGAAAGTTTGAATCGAATTCACCGGGGGTATGACGACAGTTTCAACCTGTCCAAGAATACTTGATATAAACCACATGCGAGTATAAATAGCGTTCTTCGATAGTGACCTAGACATTGAACCTGAAAAAATAACATTACCTGTGGTAACAGGAATCATCATAGTCACGTCAATATCGTTCATATCTACATCGTTCATTTTGATCGATCCACGATGATAGAACATAAGAATTCTTTTGATATTTGAGACATGATTCTTGTAAGAAAAGAAAAAAATATAAAACTTGAGAAATGAATTTCGATATAAATATCTAAAATAATTTTGTTAATTTTTAATTTTGAAAGTTAGAGAATTTTTAATTTTAAAGAATTTTGGCAGTTTTTAAGAAATTTAAATATTATTAATAATATATCTAATAATTTATTTGATATTCAAGAATAATTCTTGTGATTGTTTCTCTTGTAGAAATTCTCCTAAAAATATCATTATTTACATTATATTTATTATTATTTTGTTATTATGTTATTTAATACATTTTTAACATTTTTTTAAATATCACGTTAACATGCTTGTGTATGTATATTATTTCACAAACGAATTTTGCACTTGAGCAATAATAAATTAGATCTTTCAATTCAATTATACAATAATTTGATCATTCAATTGTTTAATTAGTAAAATAAATTACCTCGAATTAAATGTACAAAGTTTGGCTCTTCACATTGTATGAATTATCTAAAATTCGAATTTCAATATATCCTGTAAAAATTATAATGTAATACGAAGGTCGTTTTGAATATACGCTATTTTTTTTTTACAAACTCTATATATTTTTTAAGATAAATTATATAAGAGTCGTATATTATTTTAAAATGACATTCCAAGGGTAACTTATAATTACAAATATTCAATTTCGTAAAAGTATCAATTTCCTACGAACAATGTAATTATGTAATTCAGACCTGTGATTTCGACATAATTTAAAATTAATCATGACCTTCCGGGTATAAGATCCGTCAGAAAACGTTTCCAACATACATTCTACAGATACGCATGCACGAATCGACACGTGACAGTGTGTAAAGATATCACTGAATCGGTGAATGACGGTCAATTGCTATCGTTTGATCTTTGATCAAACTACTACGAACGATTGCCTTAATATTTCATCAAGTACTACTGTCTTTTTTGTTAACAAAAGTCATTGTACTTCTTTATCCCTTTTTTAAAAGAAATTTATCCTCTTTCTATTACAAACATTTTTATCAATTTTACAATTTTATTAAGCATTTATTATTGTAATATATTAATTGCATTGTAATTCCAATGTAATTTCATTGAGCATTCATTTTAATAGCGAGTAACAGCATTTTCTTCATTTTTTCATCTGTAACTTTCTCTTCATTCTGAAGAAGTGATGCAACATCATTGTAATATGAGTTTGTATTTGCTTTCAAGGCAGTGGCACTATCGTCATTCTCGAAAAAATAATTTTATTAATTAAACTCTATCCATTTATAAGAGAAATGACAATTAATATAATGATCAATCATAAATAAATTCATTAAATAACATCAAGGTATAAATTATGAACATGGATGAGTAAATATTAAATATAATAGTAAAAAAATAATTCAGTGGCATAAATAGAGTCGAAAAATTATGCACTTGCTACGAAAAAATAAATTTCATGATAAAAATAAATTACAAAATAAAATTATTATTTTATTAAGTTAGCATGACAAAATAATTTTAACTATACGCCTACGTTTCAAATTACAAGATCCTTTTTAATACTGTTCTTGTCTGAATGTCAAATGGGATTCGAGTAGAAAAAATGTAGAAATCAGAAAAAAAATGATACGAAGGAGAAACCGATACCTGAAACTGTTTCAATGTAGCAACACAAACGCACATGCAATTATGTCATATATGTACATACCTCGAGGACGAGGTTGACGTCGATAGAGTATAATCATTGATATGACACATGTGATGACAAACGACATGGTTGAATAAAATAGAGTAACTAGTTAATTTATATTCATTTATAAGAAATTTTCAGTTTAATGTATTGCTAATTTTTTAATTATTTTACATTTGCATGAAAATCCGCAATCTAATTAGTTACGCTATGAAGGGAACAAGTTTAGTTACAAATAATATAATAATATGATAGATAATCAACATATATTACAATAATAATGAATATAAATGATTTCTGATAAGGTTTCTATCAATATTAAACTAGTTTATAATTGCAATAATTTCAGCTGAAATTCACGAACTGAATTCTTAACAATTACGTGGTAGTTACATATCGTAATAATTAGTTGATTAATGCGATTCAGAAAATTTTTTTAATAGATATAAATGCAGTGGAAATGAAATGCAAAACAAAAATTTCAATTCTTTTCTGGATTTCTTTCTTTACAATCCATGTGCATGTTTTTTCCTAAAAAAATACTTCGTAACACAATAAATGTTTCTTAAATTTTTTTTATATATATTTTTTTCTCTTTTGTACTTTTATCAGGGCACGTTCTTGAACCGCAACTTTGTAGTCGATTTTCCACATATGCATCCACTTTACTATTACGAAATAATGAGTGATTATGATTGAGGTATAGGACTTGGATATACTCAGAGCTATGCTTTGTGCACTTATTTTATTTATCAAGTTTGTTTTTGCAATAGTATAATACATATAAGTTTATAGTTTTCAATATTGAATAGCTCTGATTCTAAACATTTCATAGATATTTTATATATATATTTATATATATATATATATATTTTTTTTTTCATAGTATAATAAATAAATATATAATTAGTCTTTTAAATGTTTAAATGTATAATAATTACATTACGTACCTCATTATATATACATTTAAAAGACTAGTAACAATAGAATGTAATTTAATAAGTAATAATAGAAACATTTTTGTGCAGGATGACGGCAACAAGACTGATACTCCAAATATTAAGGTAAAATCGCTGTGTCTCTCTTTTATAAATTTATACTTTATATAGTATATAAACTTATGATTTACAACTTAAAAATATACTTTATACAGTATATAAATTATACTTTATCCAACATTATAAACTAAATGAATTACGAAAAGAAAATAACGTGCCTTCACACTAGATCTACCTCATGCGTGCACAACGTGATGTTAGTCTTTCATTATCAGTCGTGATATACGATAATAAAAACTAACATCACGGTGTTGCGCGGGAATTATATAATTTTTTCAGTAAAAGGTATATTTCTCTTAATTAAGAAACGAAAATCTGGCACAATTGATGAAATCGTCCATTTTGATTAATGGAAACAATTAAAAGCATCGCGTGACCATTATATAACTGATATTTTCGTAATCGTATTATCATTTATGTAACGTCATTGTTATTTCAGTCATTCCTCGCATCCCTCTACATATAACGAATTAATATTATTCTTTTTTTTTTTTTTACGAACAGAACGAGATTGTTAAAGATGTGTCGACTTGAATGCTAAGGTAATACATTTGTAACTCAACGTTTGACATTTAACTCTTAACTGTTATCATTCAATTGTGGAAATTTAGAAATTTTTAATTTAATTTAGTTTCATTATTCATTCCCAGTGAATATAAAAATACAGAATTTCTCAAATTTTGGTAATGTAACATGCATTGTTATTTATAATGATCTAGAATATATTAGTAATTAATTATTATTAATGTTACATACAATTTTTGATATATTATTATCAATTTTAATTCATATATGAAAAATTTATAGTTATAATACACATTCATCTTATTCAATGGAATATTGAAGAGAAGTGTGTATTGAACGAAACGTTTGTTTACAGGAAGAGACGAAACAAAGCAAGGAACCACGAAATTCAAGTACGAATTCAGCAAATCTTGCAGAGAAATTCACCACGATCTTTGGCATTGTCGTCTCAATGATTGGTGCATTTATCCTTACCTCCTAAAAGAAATATCTTTCACGTTGTTCTTGCAACCGACGATCTTGATTCTTCAATTTTTCTTTTTTTTTTTTTTTTTTTTTTTTTTGGAAAGTACACGGGAAGTACTTTCGCGTTTTTGCGATTTTTGCTTTTTGCAGAAAGTATATTCTTGGATTTTTGTGAATGAACGTAATTTCGCGATGGTGTCTATAAATCTATTTTTTTTTATCTTTGTAAAGAAATGTACTTGTATTTTTATAACGGTGTTTAAATGTATCTTGTGGAACATACATTTTTTTAATTGTACGGGTTGCACTGATATTTGTATTTTAAACATAAATGAATTTTTGTATATAATTATTTTTGTATATATTTGTTATATATTTTGTATAATATATAATGTACTTTTGTATCTCTGTAAATGAATGTACTTTTATAGTGGTGTTCAAATGTATTTTGTAGAGAATACATTTTTTTAACTATACACGGTTAACTATATTAACTATTAACTATACATTTTTTAACTTTAAACATTGCAATGATATTCGTATGTTAAATATATAATGTATTTTTCTATATAAATATTAATTTTGTATATTAATATTAAATACATTTTAAATATAAATGCATATTTGTATCTCTGCAAATAAATGTACTTTTACAGTGGTGTTTAAATGTATTTTGTAGCAAATACATTTTTCTAAATGTACACGAGTTTTAAACATTGGAATGATATTTGTATTTTAAACATAAATGTATTTTTATATCTCTGTAAATAAATGTGCTTTTACAGTGGTGTTTAAATGTATTTTGTAGAAAATACATTTTTCTAAATGTACACGAGTTTTAAACATTGCCATGATACTTGTATGTTAAATGTAAATGTATTTTTGTATATAAATATATTTATGTAAATGTATTTTAAATACAAATGTATTTTTGTATCTCTGTAAATAAATGTACTTTTAAATGTATTTTGTAGAAAATAAGTTTTTCAACTGTGCAGAAGTTTTTGTATTACTATTGCATTTACAAACACATTTAATGTATTTTAAATATATTTTGTACATATTGTGAATACACTCTTGTGATGATATCTAAATGTATTTTTGTACTTTTGTAAATAAACGTATGTTTTCAAAGGTATACATATACATTTAAATGTGTTTCGTAGAAAATAAATCTATTTTTTTATTTTCGTAATGGTATTAAAATGTTACTTGTAAAAAATAAATGTGTTCTTGCGATTTCGTATTTGCAATGGTTCCTAAATGCATCTTCTGAAAAATTGTTGATGAACGTGCTTTTCCAGCGGTATTTAATTCTCGAACAAGTTAATTGTACTTTGCATTCTTTTAATTACAAAAGTTTCGAACCATCTACATTGCTTTTGCAATGAATTCTCTGGAAAATAAACATACTCTTCTATCCGTATTCGTGAACAAACTTATTTGCGAAATCAAAGTGTGTTTTGTTCCACGTATTGTTCCATTCGTTCAACCGTCAGCCGATGTCTCGTCGCGACAAACTGGAGGAAACTGCACGCATCTAATAAACACGCGACTGCAACGTTCGAAACAGTGAAGAAACACGAAATCGCAAAGGAAGACAGAAATCCTAGAAAGTATAATAACGTAAAATTCGACGGTGCAACGCCGAGCTGCGTCTCCGCAACAATTTCGCCGCGGAACGAGACAAAGGAAACAAAAAAAAAAAAAAAAAAAGGAAAAACGAAAGAGGACCTTACTCAAGCGTCGTCCCTCGTCATAAATCTGCGCCGCGGCGACGTTCCCAAAACGGGGAGAGAAAGGGTAGGTAAAAGGACACGGAGAAGGAAGAAAGGAAGAACGGACAGAGAGGGAAGGAAGAACAAGGCGTGCAGCCACTTTAATTTTCGCGAGTGTTCGCCGCCGCGTGGAAAATGGCCACCAATTTCGCGAAGGCGAAGCAAGAAACGGGGGGTGTGGGAGGGTGCTGGTAAAGAAGAAGCAGCCAGCCTAGAGCGAGAAAAATTCTCATTCCTCGTGGAAATATGGCCGAAACAAAGGCACCGACGGAGTCACAATTAGCGAAACAACGTGCAAGGAATGGCGAACTATGGGGAGGAAAGGCGAAGAAAAAGGGGGAAGGAGAGTCCTCCTTCTGGCCGCAACGTTTCCCTGAATTACTCGGGCATCTTCTTCACCCCCTTTCCGCCTTTGATATTTCGCGTTCTCCTCATTCCTTTCGCGACTTTCCTCCCCCAGGACAAAGAGGGTGGTCGAAGGGTGGGTGGAAATCCTCCGGGGAGTTTGGTTTATTTACCTTGACCGGACTCCGCGATTGTTTGCTACGCGACTCGGTACACTCTCGTCTCGGCCGCTGTGTTTTTTCGACGTTCCACCCGCCGATGGAATTTCCTTTGACTTTGGCGAGAAGCCGACGAGACGATCGAGGGGAGAGGGTTGCGGAAATGGAAACGAGACAACGGCGATCCACGACGACGTTGACCGTCGAGCTTTCGATATTGTATATTAGGATTGTAAATGTTGATGAAAATGTAATAATCTTTGGTGTTGTTGAGGAAACGGTGGTACGGAGGCTACAAGACACACAAAAGAGACACTGTCTCGTTGACCTGAAGAAGTTGATGTTGCTCGAGCTTATCCACTGATGGGTTTGCGTAAATAATAATAATAATAATAATAATAATTTGACGCAATTTTCTTGAGAGAACAGTTGGTAAAAATTCCAGTATAAATTCTATGCGATATGACATATTTCACGATGAAATATATAACAATGATATAACAATAATAATAAATAAAATATAACAATAATAATAAATAAAATGGAACTAAAATTGAATAAAATTGAAATGCATTTTAACAGTGTAGAAAGATGGACGAGAGTTATTGGAAGTTGTCTACATTTTGAACTGTTATAACTTCATACAAAAAAAAAAAAAAGAAAGGAAGAAAAATGTACAACAATTCAGCTAAATTAATTTTAAAGTACGAAGTCTTTACTTTGTTCGTCTTTACATCATGTAGCAAAGATACATTTGTTCTTGAAAATATCAAAAATCCGAGCATATTTTAATACTGAAAATTATTAAGAAATTTTTCTAAGTATCAACCATGATCTTGAAGCTCTCGATCACATGAATTTTATTTTCGAGCAGATATTCCATCGAAACGAGCGTGTTTCGAAATATTTCGAAACACGTAGTTCAAAGTTACCGAATCCGACTGTTTGAAAATTTGAGATTAAGAGACTGTTAAATTATTTTGCAACATGACGACTAAACGCATCTCTCAACCATGAAAAATATGTTCACAATAAAGTCATCCAAGCTCCACGCGAACGTGTAAAGTCGTTCTACCGAAACGAACTAAAATATTTTTGTAACGCGTAATTTAAAGCGATAGAATTCAAGTGTTCCGAAACAAATTGATAAACTTTCAACGGTTTTAATTATTCTGCAACTAAAAAGACAACATCCACCGACCATCAACAACAAAGTACAGACGAGTCGCTCAAATTTGGCGCAATTTCCATCGTCCACAAACGAGGACTATCGAGACTCAACTTTCGAAAAAAAAAAAAAAAAAACGAAATCTACAGTTACGAAATATCCAGTTGCTATTAATTAACAAGCACCCAACCGCTGGCAATTAATTCGCGATACACCAATTAAAGTCAACGCCGGTTTTTCCAACACCGGTCGAAAAAAAAAAAAGAAAAAAATAGAATAAAATAAAATCTCGAAAATTATAATCCACGGCGATACACAAGAACAATTTAAACCAAGCAAGTGGAGGGGAGGGGTAATAAAAACGAATAAATCGCTAACGCGAAGCGTGAAAATCGTGATACGCTTTTATTTTTCGGGCCGAGGCGTTAAAATCCAGCGTCGAGGGAGAGAGAAGAAGAGGAAGAAAAAAAAAAAAAGAAAAAAAGAGAGAGAGAGAGAGAGAAAGAAGCGGAAGGATAGGCGTGCGGAGCAGAAGAGGGGAGAGGGGCGGAGAGACGGAATGAAAGTCGTCAGAATAAATTGGAGGCAGTAAAATTAAGCGGGCGTCGGTAGCAACACGCCGTGTCGTTCTTATTTTTGTTTATCGTTCTATTTACCGTTGTGTTAAATTCACCCGCTATCTTGCTTGATGTACGAGCCGAAACGGAGACGCCGGACGCCGGTGATGCATCACGCGCGCGCGCGCGCGCGCGAAAAGCTTAACGGCTTGGTTGTTGCGTGCCAACCCGGCGACGACAAATTAACCGATTTTTATATCTCGTTTTTGTTCGATTTCTCCATCGTTTTCTCTCCAGATTTTTTTTTTTTTTGTTTTCTTGGTAACGATAATGACAGATTTGGTCTACGCCAGCTTCTAATTATTTTTCAATCTTCTACTCTTTTTGTTTTGGCAATTTAAAAATGTCGAGCGTGATACAAGAACAGTGGGATTGAACGGTGAAATTTTTGTCAAATGCTAGTGCCAAGAACAATTTAGATTTATACAACATGAAGTCAGCGTGTCGAATCAGGGATTTTTGCACCCCTTGCATTAGGGGTGCGAATTATAGTTACCAGATTCTATAGTTCCCAGCTGTCGCATTCTGAAACTGACAGACGACACGCAACAGGCGTGGAAGTTATTCGAAAGACGAGTCGCAAAGAAAGAGTAAAATTTTCTCATTAAAGCCTCATCAGTCCATCGAGAGAGTCGGGTTTCCAATTTTCTCAATTTCTGTTCTCACGGTGCAAAGATTTCCAGTGACCGACGATTGGTCACCCGTTCAAATTTCTAATTTATAGTATATTTACATTTATTAGTTATAGTATTTACAATATTAATTTATAGTATATTTATTTGTACACCGATAAATATCTAACGAGATGATAATTCACAGAAGTGATAATTATGCACTCATATTATAGTATTATAGTATTTATAGTATTTATAGTAAATAACTTATAGTATATTTATAGCATTTATAGTATATAATTTATAGTATATTTATAGTATTTATAGTATTTATAGTATATAGTATATAGTACTTATAGTATTTATAGTATGTAGTATATAGTATTTATAGTATTTACAGTATTTTCAGTATTTACAGTATTATTTATAGTATTTATAGTAGCGATAGTATTTATAGTATTTATAGTATATTTTGTACTCGTATTATAATAAATCGTATTTATAGTACCGATAGTATTTATAGTATATTTTGTACTCGTATTATAATATATCGTATTTATAGTACCGATAGTATTTATAGTATATTTTATACTCGTATTATAGTATTATAATATGATATTATAGTATACCGTATTTATAGTATCGATAGTATTGATAGTATATTTTGTACTCGTATTATAGTATATCGTATTTATAGTATCGATAGTATTTATAGTATATTTTATACTCGTATTATAGTATTATAGTATTTATAGTATATCGTATTTATAGTATCGATAGTATTTATAGTATTTATAGCATATCGTATTTATAGTATCGATAGTATTTATAGTATATTTTATACTCGTATTATAGTATTATAGTATTTATAGTATATCGTATTTATAGTATCGATAGTATTTATAGTATTTATAGCATATCGTATTTATAGTATCGATAGTATTTATAGTATATTTTATACTCGTATTATAGTATTATAGTATTTATAGTATATCGTATTTATAGTATCGATAGTATTTATAGTATTTATAGTATATCGTATTTATAGTATCGATAGTATTTATAGTATTTATAGTATATTTTTACTTATATGCCGATAAATATCTAACGAGATGATAACTCACAGATAATTACGCACTCGCTCGACAACTCTCGGCCGCAGCCGCAACTGTTTGGATTTTTCAAGCTCAATTGTCCCCGATATTTTGGCCGATCGTTCAACTTTTCGTTTATTGTCTCGAATTGTCGAATTATCGATTTGCTGGATTTTCAACAGCGAAGGGGAGGGGCGTGTTTCGAGAATTTTCAAGGGCGCTTCTCGTCGAACCAGTTCCAGATTTTTAACGCTCGATCGACTCGACTCGTTCCCGACGATGGAACGTCGCGATTAAAAAACTATGTCGGCCAATTTTTCTCTTGGTTGATCGATCCGACACGACTGGCGGGGCGTATCGCAATCAGTCAGATTATTTAACATTTAATCTCAATTCGTAATTGATAATTTAAACTAATTCGCCCTCGCCGTGTTAATTATTGTGCGCGAATTAATATGAAGTGCTCCAAAATTAGATAATCTAATAAACCGAGACACCTGCGTGATTGTCGATGATCGAACAACTAGAAATTAATAATTCGACACGAGAATTAATAACGACCGATTGAATGATTGAAAATTACGAAATTTTGGTTGATAGGAATGTTTGTGAATGAAAATAAGAATTCATCGATTCATAATAAAAAGAATGATAGCATCCGTTTTCTCTAATCGTCGTTCCAACGATCATATGATTTTTCCAAAATCCACTTCACTATTGTAACTGATTGTGAGCTACGATGATCGCACATTCACGACTTCGTTATCTCTGACAATAAATCCCGAACAGTCACCAGCGGCGATAATTCGTCCAACGATTGATCGATTCGTCTACAAACCGCGAAAACGCAGCAAAATTAAAGGGCATTTAATCCTTGATTGGATCTTCAGTGTGAAGAAGTTTAATTTAGTTTAATTCACGTCGGAATGGTGTGAATGATTAATCACTGACTGAGATGAAGAAAGATTTGCACGAAAGATTATATAATTATGAAAATCAAATCGACATAGAATTATTATGATATACATACTTCACGATTTTAACATACTGTACATATTACAATTCTTACGTACTTTATATATAATTATAGAAATTAAATCGACATAGAATTATTATAAATATATAAATACTTGTATAATATTATACTATACTAATATATAAATACTTATATAATATTATACTATATTATACTATATAATACTATATAATATTAATATATTATATTAATTATACTATATTATACTATATTATACTATATAATAATATTATACTATACTAATATATAAATGCATACATGATATTATACTATATAATAATATTATACTATACTAACATATAAATACTTATATAATATTATACTGTATTATACTATATAATAATATTATACTATACTAATATATAAATACTTATATAATATAATATACTTATATAATATTATACTATATTATACTATATAATACTATATNTTTTTTTTTTTTTTTTTTTTTTTTTTTTTCTTGGAAACTGTGTTAAATTTTTTCTGAGCGAGGCACATTAAAATTTTCATCGCTGCTGAATTTTTAATTCCTATTTCTCCCGTCTTTTGAATTTCATGTTCTTCTTGTGAAGATGTAAATTTTTCAGTTGGAAGGTATAAAAATATCTCGAACTAATGCAAGATATTCTCGATTTTATTCCGAGAAAGTTTGATCTCTTTCTCGTGCATCATATTTTTCTTCTTTCTTTTTGAAATATTTTTTCTGGATAATTTTTGTTAGTATTAGTACTTTGAGGAATACTAGAATATACTGAATAAATATTAGAGAAGGAAGATACATGTATCAAATAGTGGTTTTGTCTTTAAATATTTCAGTTGAAGTTGAAACTTGGGTGAAACGAATTCTCTTCTCTCGTATTTTTTCTTATATTCTTTCCTATAATTTATTTTTCCTTTTTAAATTCCAAAGGTACGATATTTCAAACAATGTTTCAAGATAAAAAAAAAAAAACAGTAAACAGAGAGCGATCGATTTATTTTAGAAATTCTACTTACACTTGGCAAATGATTTTAAAATGTCTGTTAAAAAAAAATTTAATTGGAACAAACCGAAAGAACGTCATTACTCTGTAAACAGGCACAATTATTAATTATTAACTAATACATTAATTCAATTGCACAAAATTAAAATAATGGTAACGAGGACATTTCCATAGACCGTGATAATAATTTCTGATTAACCTAGAAACGTATATACATTTACGTATGTATAACGTAACATAACGGTGCTGTTAGATTTCGAAAGGAAAGCATTTTGATGAGTATCAGATAAAAAAAGGAACGGTGCACCACACGCAGCTGTGTTACTTCCTGGTTTAAATTACATAATTCCAGGATTTCAAAAGTTTCTGAAATTTTATACGCCGTCGTTGCTTTCCATTGTTTTCCCAATTATCGAACAAATTCACTTTTCTATTTAAGTAATAATTGTTTAAATAGATTCTAGTTAAATTCTTTTTCTAATATTCCAGTGTTCGTGATATTTCAGTATGTTGTGAGTGATCGACAATGAAGATGACAATTCATTAGTATTTTTAGTAAATTGAATCTTAAAATATCACCTGACAGTCTATGTTTTGTTATATTTCAGAATTCGACGCTGAATGTAGTTAATGCAATTCAGTTTGCTGGAATTAAGTCAAAAATATATGGAGTGTGGAAACGTCAAGTTTCAGCGTTTCTCAGAGAACGGAGATTTATTCTCCAGTATATACTTCAACTTTGTATTTTCTTATTTCATATTGAAAGAAATGTGAAACTCGGAGAATTTGAATTTGCAGTGCAACGTAGCCAGTGATAAGAAGCACACGTAGAAGTACGCGAAGAAATATTCAACTTAAAATTCGTTTCAACCCAAAAATTGACATTTTCACTTTTTCCCGTGGATCCTTCATATGAAAGTATTGTCTAGATGATCAATTTCATTGACGTTTAGTAAATTGAACCTTTTTTCAGTTTTATTATTATTAGTAAATTGAAACTTTTTCAATTTTATTCATTAGTAAATTGAAACTTTTTCAATTTTATTATTCCTGAAAATACAGTGTATTAAATGCATTTAATCCGGTTTACCAGAATTAATCTGCAAACGTGCATATGAGAACATTTATGTCAAAATGTAGGAAAAAAGAACGTAAAAAAAGAAAGAAAAAAACATCCTGTCAGGTAACGCAATTACGTTCAAGAAAACCTGGTTTATTCGCGTATCATGGTATCAACATTATAGGTTGAATTGATTGCTTAAACGTCGATATTTGAATACTTCTGACGAAATCATATTCGAATAGCGTTTCATATTTTCTATTCGAGGATAATGCAGGAAATGTTTTACTAAAAATAAAAAAAAGAAATTGATTGAGGAGTGTATAAAATGGTTGTTAAATCGATGTTAATGTAATTTCGATAGAAAAGAATTGATTGAAACGCGAGAAGAATATCTCTGACGAAAGAATATAACAAACTATTTGATTTTTTATTAAATTTCATTCTTGAATGTCTTCGAAGTGAATTTTTATTTTTGCTGATTATTCCTCCAAATATTTTTGCTGAAAAGACCGATCGTGTATTAAAGTAGAGACTTCAGCGAGCATCTCAGAATTTTTCCAGACTTTCTCAAAGTCAGAAACAGTAAAATATATTTATTCTTGATTCCAAGACTGACCGCTTGTCAAGATAGAGAGTATTCGTCGAGTGTCTCAGAATTTTTCCAGACTTTTCAAAAGTCGAAAACAGTAAAAATATTGGTCAGTAATTACAAATAAGACCGTGAAAGATATTAAGATATTCTTAAAACAAAAAGTTCGGGTAAAGGTGATTCTACGCTATTTGTCCCTTGCGACAAACGAAATCTCGTCGTATTCCCTTGACGAGCGAATGAAAATATTTTTAAACTCGACGTACGAAGTACCAAAAATGATAAACAGTGAACAGGACTAGACGATAAACAAAAGCGTGCCCACCTTGCAAGGCGCTCGAGTATCGATTGTGACCGGTTTTTGTTCTTCATTCCGTATGACTCCGCTGAGAGAAAAGCGAGAGTGGGGCACCGCGTAATATAAAGGAGAACCGGTCCAAGAAGTAACCGTTCCCACTCCATCGGCCGTTCTCCATCTCTTTGGTTCACTATACGAGTGTCTTGCATGTCTCTTTCCGTGACCGGTCGTACTTGGCCATCGTTGTCGTAGTCGTCGATCGTTCTTCCCCCGATTTCTTCATATTACTCTGGCTTCAGGATCGACGACACCCCGTTGCTAGACAAGGTAAGAGCGTAAACTCCATCGTAGACATTTGTCCAAAAATATTATAGACTTCTTACTCTAGCTTCGTATTTTTGTGAGTATAATTCAAGCAGTAGAACATTTTTTTTTTTTTTTCTATGTGCGTCGAAACGTTTGTGTTTTGGATTTTTACGTATCTTTTTTCATGTCAAAATTTTACACGCAATAACTTACACCGTTTGAAAATATCCTGTATATGTGCCAACACATTTTACGTACATTTCGTACATATTTTGCGTGCAGAAACATCTTCGATTTATATATTACAAAATGGCAAATACATTATTTATGAATGCTGAAATATCGCGCGAAAATTTTTAATATTCTACGACAGCACGAAGGTGTAAAATTTGACTGGATTCTGAATTCATTTTTTTAAGATTTTGATTTTTGAATATCGAAATTTAATATTGAAATATAGTGTTGGGAGTATTTTGTAAATTATGAATGTAACGTAGTTTTTTTCGTTGGTGTTTATCGCGTGTACTTGGAGAGTAGCACGATGTAGTTGTTTGGTCATACATTTGGACGAAAGTGAAAGTGATGCTGGTTTTTTTGCTTCTCGTTCTCGAGCTTCTATTTTTTTCTGCCTCGATAAAGAGGCAGTTTCAACAGCTTCAACGTGTGCTGTCACGTTTACGTTACAGTTGTTGCACTACAGAGAAAGAATACAATGAGTCTATTGAAGATTTTCAACAATTCATTAGAAACAATTTTCGATATAATCAACAGGTAAAGAGTTCAGATAATAGTTCTTAACGACTCACTCTGTACAACAAAAATTAAAAATACATATAGAAGTCTTTATATAATTGAGGAAACTAATTATAATCTGCTACGAATGAATCCATTTGTTAAAGAAATTTATTTTCTGTAACATACAAAATGTAAAATACGAGAGAAACTTTTCATTCTGCGTTTTTAGTGTTTTTGTAAAATTGGAAATAATAAATTTCTAGAAGTTAGTAGAATTTTTCGATTTAAAAAGATGGCACGTATACATATTAAAACTTATTTCAATTGGAAATATCTCTCGATTTCACTTGATTACAACACTGTGTGTCGATAAAAAAAAGTGATCTGACGTTTCTGAAAAAGAAAAGTAGACTGTACCTTCAATGTAAGTCGAGTATACCCAATTGAAAGTTATCGAAGTTGAAATATTCAACTCGAATGTTGCAAAATATGTTGCCAGCGTTCAAAAAAAAAAAAAAAGAGCTCTTAAAGAAACTAAACTCTGCTTCGCTTTTTCGTAAAATAAGAATAATTTTAAATCTTAGAATGAAATTAGAATTGTAAACTTTAATTGCGCAATATAAACACGTGCACACAATTTATTACATCCGTTGTAAGCTTAGGAACAGCAGAGACACCGAGAATCTAAAAACACGTGTCAAAATTTATTCATCTCTCGATTTCAAGATCAATTTGACATTTCCAGAGGGAAGAGAAATCAAATCACACGTAGCGTGTGAATCGTCGAGTGTGATATTAAAATCAAAAGCTGTCGAATTTGAGAAACGTCTTAAAATTCGAAAGCCTCGGAATATCAACGCAGCGATATATACACATATATATTTTTGGCTAAAATCCGGCCGGTAGAAAGCGAAAGTAAGATTTACATTTTCAGCAGTTTTGCGATAATCACGGTTCTCGCTTACGCTAGCAAGAACCCATCGCGTTTCGAAATAACGTTTCAAGCTTTCCCTTTGACTTCGCGGTTCGAACAAAATTCATCGTTGCATCACGACGATCTTCCGTTACGCGCCAAATCCACGTTGCCGTTTTCGAACAAATCCACCTCCGTTTTGGAATCTTGCAAACAACCGCTATGTACAACGTAAATTACGTAATAGTCAACGTCGCGTAAGATAAATATCGGTTAAAGAAAACATCAAGTACGTGCACTTTTTTTCTGTTGATCGATCATCCAGTTCCGGCGTTTGGTACGTTCGCTTCGATCATTATCGTTACACCGAGGATTTTTATTCATTTACGACAGGAAATCGAAAGCACACGATGCACGTTAGGCGTTAATTGTATGAAATGTCTAAGATAGAAAATTAGATAAATAATTAGATCTGATTTTTCATAGATCGCGCGCGTGATGTGAAGATATGAATAAAATGTTCAAGCTCCTATAATGTTTGGCGTGTGAAACAATTTCCTTCTTAAAATCGTGAACCTTTCACAAAAATTCTCCTGTATAATGGTAACATATAGCAAGTATGTTCTATTTTTTTTTTTTGGTTGTGCTCCTGAAAATTTGTTGGAAACCTAACGTAGCGTGATTATTAATCGAATCAATAATTCTAAATAGTAAGTAATATTGTAGAAATTACTTCATAATTTATTTCATTTATTATCATTTTATATTTATAATTATTATTCTAATATTTATTATTTTATTATTGTATAAATTGTTTGTTATTATATTATTATATTTATTATTTAATAATTATATTATTATTTTATATTAAATTCATTTATTATTTTTTTATTATTTAATATTATTTTAGAATTATGTTTTGTCAAACGAATGTGATTTTAGAGTTAATCGAGATTCGTAGAATGTTCGAAAAGACGTACGTACTGACTTCTTTCACAATTAGTACAGATTATTAGAAAACTCTCAGTGTTGTTTTATAGAAATACTTTCTTCGTCGCTCTTTAATTAAAAACTCTTATTGTTAGTAACAATTTTCGACTAATATTAAGACTTTCTTCTTCCTTTCTCAGCATAGTCTATACTGTCTATCCAAATCAATTTCGATAATGATATTTAACAATTTTCCTTTTCTTCTTCAAGCAATACGACTCACAACGTCTAGACATTTGTATTTATTCGAGAATTTCTGACAAATTTATATGATAGTTTGTGAATGATAGTTTCATTCGTTTAAACAAATATTTCATTCGTTCCTCAACTTGACACACTTCTCTTATAAAACGTTATATTTCTAACTTGTTATACATTTTTGATATTTTCTAACATATAACGTGTAACACATATTTTCAACATCAGAATTGCAGATAATATTCGTTTTCAATAATAATATTTCCCTTGACAGGCAATAACCGATAGAATTATTCGGTTAAGTTCATCCAATTATCTAGCCAATCATTCAGTTAAGTTCAATTAATACATGCAATAACTGATCTAATCATTGGCTTCTAATTGTTGTCATTATTGTGCTAGAATTATGGATTCACGTACCACGGATTCATTGTACATCTTTTAACGAAAACCATGGATTTCTAAATCCGTACATTTGTGCATTACGTGTACAACAAGAATTGTTTGCAAACACGAATTTCTAACAGGTGCGCTTGTAACATCACGCGAAAGAAAGCAAAAGTTTCGGTAGATCTCTCAGTAGAGTATGACCGCACGTTCTTTACTTTCTGTCACGTTCACGAGCTGCCTTTCCATCGTTGCCCAATTTCAGGTTTTATCAAGGACGGTCTTTGGCAATATGCTGTGTAGTTTTTCTGGTGCACAAATAATGCGTCTTTCCCTTCAAATGCAACATAAACACGGTTTTTTTTTTTTTATTTCTCTGCGACGACGCTAGATTTCCGTGAATGTTCTCTTTATTTACAGTAATGGCAGTCATGGTAACAGTATCAAAGTTATGTACATATGTCATTTGTTTAATTTTATAATTTTTACAAGATTCGACGATCATTACGACGTGATATCGGCAAATTACAATCAATTGAAATCAGTTTTACAATTTTATAATTTTCAGAGACGATCAATTTGTCAACTAAGTTTTTACTTAACGTGTACAAAGTGTTGAATTACGATAAATTATTACGTTATAGACTTTTATGTAAATTCATATTTTTGAGAATATAAAAGCATTGAATTTTGGATATTTTATACACACCTTTTTTATATTGCACGCGCTCTTTGAAATTCTGTATTTTAAGGATTTTTATGCATTTATGCATAAAAATCCGCTGTCTAATAATAAACGATTCATGATTGCTAGCTGAAGTGAAAATTTCGTAAAGGAAATTTCGTAGAATTACGGTGTCGAAATTGAAATTTCATTTTTATGTAATTCCTCTCTTTCTTGCCGTATATATTTCGCAAATGCAGGCCGAAAGTGTTCTTTCGTTATTAGAAAGCAGCTGTCTATGACTCATATTGCAATACTCCTCGTATGAATCAAACGTGAAATTCTTGTATGAAAATATTATCAAAAATCATTGATCGTTAATGACAATGAGCATTAATACCTATTCATTAGCACAATAAAATTAATATATTAACTTTTATGTTGTTATAGAAATATTAGACTGTTCAAGTTAATCACTGTATAGTTAATCATTGATTTCCTTCATTGTCATTTTCTTTTATCTATTTTTTGGAAGAATCGATAAAGTTGCACAGTATCAATCTCCTGTACGAATGTTTGACAATTTACAATTTATTCTATAGTTCGTGATGTCCGTTAATCTTTTTCTATTTTTTCTAATTATTTATTTTAAAAAGTTTCATCATACGATTAATTACAATATATTTAATATCGTTAGTCACATATAGTAACAATACATATATCGTTAGTCACAATATAGTAATATCGTTATCATACAGACATTGAACAAATTTATATTTAGATTTAATTAAAATTTTTAACTTGATTATTAATCTGTATATACCGTAAAATAATCCAACATAAATTATTATTAGCAGGACATTTATAATTCAACAGTACCATTTGATAATTAATATGATATATTCAAAAATTCATAAAAAAAATAAGCAATCGTCAGTTTAAAAATGAATAAGAAATATAAAATACAATTCCTTATACTGATCTTTATTTCAATGATACCTATGATACAATATGATACAAGAATTGATTAATCCTCGATCTTCTTAATTATTTAAGCATTTAACTTTAAATTTAACAGCTACAAATGAACATCTAATTAGATACATTGTTTACTGTATCCTTATTCGTAGTAAATTCTTAGTCTTTCATAGATGAAATGTTTCATTGAACATCTGACATTGCATTAATGCGAATAGGCTTGGAAGGATGTTTATTTGTGTCGTTGTTCAATGCTTTACTTGGGATTCAAGCTGGCTTCTAGCAGTAAAACTCGTTGATCCATCGACAGAGACCTTTTAATTTCCTTTTTTATTACCTGATTCATTTTTATTCGACTAAACAATAGAAGCAATCAGTGTCTAATACATCGTGCTTTCGATGAAAACTTCGAACTTTTTAAATTAAATTTGACAAGACAAAATCTCCTGTGCATATATTAAAATTGTTTAAATTAAATTTAGTAAATTAAAATCTCCACGAATTCTTCACTGTAATAACATATAATAATTGATGAAATAATGTCTTCCTTCACATGACGAGTATGATATATATTCATCAAACACAAATAATAAATGATACAAATAACGTGAATTACTCCATCTACTTAAAAACTAAAAAAAAAGTTACGTCCAATAAACTACCATTCACGATACGATGCGCATTCTAGATTGAAATTAATCAACGAACAGATAATGAAGGAAGAAAAAGCAGAAGAAATATTGTCGATCTCCTTTCTTTTCACCAGGAGGAAAGAGGACACGGAATTCCTTTCGGTCAACCGTGACGAGTTAGAGAAAGTTTAGCGTTAAGCAAGCCGCTTCTGGTCAGCAATAATTCCTCATATAAGAACGATGTGTATCTCGAGTATTTGCGTAACCTGTTACAGCGCGCATTGAACGTATGCATGCGCATTGAACGTATGCATGCGCATTGAGTATCACTCACGCTCATTATCAGTCACATCCAAACGATGATTTTATCCCTCGGTTCGATTATTTGTTAAAAATCATGATGTTATCAGTACGTGAGATTGTCATTTGACGTTTCGACGAGGAGTTAAACAACATTTCAACAACGTTCTTAGAATTTTTATTCCTATTATAAATCGAAATAATTTGAAGACTCTTGTTGGTTATTAATTATTGATGTTCTCTTATTTTCTTTTTTCAGTTTTATATTATTGTTAATTCTATTTGAATAGAAACGTTTCATGTTATTTTGATCAAAACAGGAAAATAATAATCTTTCGGAATTTTTATATTACTTTTACATCTATATAATTTTCTTATTATTAATTTTGTTTGAATAAAAGTTGCGAATTTATTACAGTTTTATTTAAATGAAAATTATAATTCTTTTTAATTCCTATATTATTATTACGGATTTTTTTATATTTCGTGGTACTTTATGAAATTCAGATGGTACACAATATTCGTTCGCGTGTGCAAGCAAAATTTGCTCAAGTTTTTTTATACAGAGTTTGCGTACGCGAAATTTTCGCGTCAGTGAAATAAATTTCTGTTTGCGGAGACTAGATCCCTCTGCAAAGAACATCTACGTACACTCGTGAAATTCACGTTTATATATTTTTTTCTTCTAACGTATATATATGTATACAATATATAGTTTTTAATTCCTGCGAATATTTCTTCGTCTGTAAAAACTGTAATTCTTTTATATATTTAGATTAAATTAACTAACAACGACTTTTTTAATTTAATATAATTTTCATTCAAATTAATGCTTAATTCGTCCAGAAGCAAACCGCGTAACTTCTGTCTTACGATGGAGGGAAAATTCTTACGAATCGGAAAAATGTTTTAAGAAATGTTGTTATTTTCTTCGTTGATTATTTGTAGAATATCGAAATGTTGAGATGATAGAGGAAATAACGCATTTTCCAATTAATTGCGCAAGCGGTTGTTTCGCATACAGTGGATATCGTAATTAACATACTTCAACTTGACATATAATGTCATATCTAGTCGCAAATTAGCTTCCTTTCTTCATACATAGTTTCGCAAATGCAATACGAGTACGCTTCAACAAACTCGCGTATAATAAATTGCGTACACAAACTATGTATGCAATTCATCAATAATAACGTGCATAGTTTAGTATTACAAGCTCGTTAGTTATAACCAATAACTTTTCACTATGGTTTTATTAAACGTTATTGTTGTCTTTTCGTTTATAAAAATTAAAGTCTTAAAATTTTTTTCCATCTTCCAACTATCTAAAAATCCTTTTCTATGTATCTTAGTATCTTTTCTCTAATTTCCAATCATAAAAATCTTTTCTAATTTTTATTTTGTTACGTCTATATCTCAGTGTTTGTTTTATCTGTCAGCTGTCTAAAAATCTTTTTCTACGCATCTTGAAATTCTTTTTAATTTCTAATCTCTTTTTTAACTGCAAAAAAATCAGTTCTAATTTTCCTGTGTGTATCTCATTATAGTATCTACTTAATCTTCCAAGTATGTGAAAATCTTTTTCTATGTGTCTTCTAATCTCTAATCTTTTTTCCAATTGTAATAATCTTTTCTAATTTTTTTCTTTTTAGAGTATTAGATCGTAGAAGACTAAATATCGTTAAGACCTATTTTTGTAAAAAAAAAGTATTGTAAAAGAGTGTTGTATTATAATTGGTTTCTACATATTTATGTATGTCTGTTTTTTGAATTTTTGCAACTTTCGAAAACGATTTTACAACTTAACTCAAGAATATAATAAAGAAGCAGGTCTGAGAGATTTTTACAAAGATCTCTCTCAGATGAGTTTAAACTGTTCTAAGCGGTAATTGATTTTCAGATGTTGCTGATTCAACCGACGGAGGAGATGTCGAAGCAGATTCGCATGGAGCTGAATGAAAATGTGGCGACACGCGACAAAGACGTGGAAGTGATCAAGGAATGGCTGTCCAAGCAACCGCACTTACCTCAGTTCGATGGTAATTGCATTTCGATCGATATCGTGTCTGATGAATCGACATGTTACGAAATTTCTGCATGTACATACATACGATCAGTCGCAGAAATAATACTTCTCAAATATTTAAAATATTTAAATTAAATATTTCAAACGTCGACTCATAATTATTCTATTAGATATCACATAGCTTTTGCCAAATTTACTATCTGACAACAAGTATTTCGTATAACAATTGGAAAATTATAAAATTGTGAAATAGTTTTTAAATTTAATTCAACATTGACCAATGTAAATTATGATAGTTAAGTCTCATTGTCAGCACAATGCTGATGAAATTTCAGAATTTAATATTTTATATAACTGTATTATTAAATTTATTATTTATATCTTATTTATACTTTATTGTTATATATATTTTATTTATATAGGTGTTTAAATGTAATAATAATAACTTTTAATTTATTTTTTAATAAATTAAAAAATATTAAATATAATAATATAATAATAATAATATTTAAATATAATAATATAATAATATAATAAAAATAATATTTAAATATAATAATATAATAATATAATAAAAATAATATTTAAATATAATAATATAATAAAAATAATATTTAAATATAATAATATAATAAAAATAATATTTAAATATAATAATATAATAAAAATAATATTTAAATATAATAATATAATAAAAATAATATTTAAATATAATAATATAATAAAAATAATATTTAAATATAATAATATAATAAAAATAATATTTAAATATAATAATATAATAATATTTAATTTATGAAGAGTTCGAATACATTCGTGAGTCAAATTGTCAATATTTTTAAAGTAATCTCTTTCCATTCAACGAACCATTAGTTCCATTTGTATTGTTATTTACGATTATTCGTTGTTTCTTATTCTCTCACAAAATGCTTTCTTTCTTCTTTGTTTTAGACGATTACAGGATAATGACGTTCCTTCGTGGTTCCAAGTTTTCCTTGGAAAAGTGCAAGAAAAAGCTGGACATGTATTTTACGATGAGAGCCGCGATCCCAGAGTTCTTTTGTAATCGAGACATCACCAGACCGGAATTGAGAGACATCACAAAACTTATGTAAGTTCTTCCTATTACTATTAGCTTAAAAGCACTGTCGCAACGATATTCGTATTCGGTATTTTTTCTTTTCGTTTATTTTCTTTGTTTCTTTACGTACATTACCTGTTATATACATTTACTTATTTATTTGATTTAATTGATTTATCTGATTTAATCCATCAAGGATCATTTTACTCACGTAATTCTTTTCACTCAATTTATATCATCAAATTCTATGTTTTACTACCAGAAATTGCGAGGATTTGCTTAATTTGTTTTTTTTTTTTTTTAATCACTACGTCTTTTATTTTTCTGATGTTTCAAGAGTATGAAGTACTTAGAATATTATAGTAAATTATTCAATAGGTTGATTATTGTTAAACGTGTTTTGGAACTTATAGTGACACATTGAGAGCAATATTAGTTTCAATATGTCATTGTAAGCTCTAGCAGGTGTTTGATAGTAAAAAAAAGTATCCTGTTTATTGCGTTTTTAAACATGGGAATGGTATTTCCTTGATCCGTTTCGAACGTATTAAAATGAGTATTCATTCATGCTGTAGGTATACCCAATTTTTTTACTGAATACATCTTTGCAATAATAGTACTTTCTATGTTTTCATACATATTTCAAAATTTTACCAGTGCAATTTTTCGTCACAACATTAATGAAATTTCAAACTGTTTCATATAATATTATCTACGTGCGTGGTAAGTATCGCGGGTAATTTCTTCAATCAATTTTTCGTCGTTCAAAGCACGAACAATACTGTACGGTAATTATAATATATTACATTTGTCTATCTAAACACGATATACATATATAAGAAAGAAATTTGCGCCCCAACATGCTCCAAGTTGGTCAAAATGGCGCTGCAAGGTCGTCAGTCGAAAAAGTAACACACTTCAAAGAACGTAACGCATTTTTCCAGTCAGATACCTCCGTTGCCAGGTTTGACGAGGAACGGGCGGCGAGTGATAATCATGCGAGGCCTGGACAAAGACGTGCCAACCCCGAACGTAGCCGATTTGATGAAACTGGTTCTGATGATCGGCGACGTACGTCTGAAGGAAGAGTTGGTCGGCGTCGCTGGTGACGTGTATATCTTGGACGCCAGCGTTGCGACGCCGTCCCACTTTGCAAAATTCACGCCGGCCATCGTGAAGAAGTTTTTGATCTGCGTGCAGGAGGCTTACCCAGTGAAGCTGAAGGAGGTGCACGTGGTGAACGTTAGCCCGCTGGTCGACACTATCGTCAACTTCGTCAAACCGTTCGTTAAGGAGAAAATTCGCAACCGAATATTCATGCACAGTGATTTGAAGACGCTGTACGAGTACATCCCGAGGGAAATACTGCCGGCCGAATACGGGGGCGATGCCGGTCCAATTCAAGCTATTCATGGTACGTTCGTGAACGATCGAGTTCACAGGCCTCTGTCTGTGAACAGATCAACCTCTTTCATCAATTTCAGGGCCAAAACACTCGGTTCGAAGTTTAACCTTTCGAAGTTTAACTCTAGCTTTGACTATTATTTAATATTAATTGATTGGTATACAGATAATTCTACTATCTAACCATTTGGATTAGAAACAGCGTCTTTGAAATATATGTACATAGCACGTGACAATTACTTTGAACGGAAAGTGCATTCGTCGATTAAGATGTAATATTTATAATGTTATATCATAGTATATAATATTAATATCTATAGTAACATATTACAATATAATATTTGACATTATTTAACAATTAACAATTGGCTTACAGTCGTTAACCAGTGATGTTAATAATTTGAATAATTTAATTTGATTTGCTACTTAATATCTAATTTAATAATTACGATTTTCTATATCCCATTTTTATGTCCAACGTTGCATCTATCTATTTTTTACTAAGAGTTTGATGCCGTGGATTAGTTTTTTTCATTTTCTCGTTATCATAACGCAGAAACACCTGTTGCAACGCATTAACGTGTCAGATACCATCCGCGAAATATCTCCAGCGCGAATTCTAGTTAAAATGACACAGGTCATCGCCAAAAAGAGAGAGGAGAATGTTTCGCGAATATAATAATGAAATGTCATCAACCTTTACGTCGAGAAGAGAGGACCGATCATCTTAGGTTGCACTTAAATATTTAAATGTGAAAAGCACTTGCTGACTCGCCAGATACAATTTGTCAAATTTACTTTACTAAACGACGTCGTTTCTGTTTCTTTCAAGAAACCTGGCTAAAGAAATTAGAAGAATACGAGCCTTGGTTCGCGGAACAAGAGTCCGTGAAAGCAAACGAGGCGCTCCGACCAGGGAAACCAAAGACACACGACGATCTGTTCGGTTTGGATGGGTCGTTTCGACAACTGGTGATCGATTAATACCTAGAACACTTGCACGTCGATCGAGTGATCGACTATCAGCATCTTGGTGCTAACATAAAGAAAATGAAGGAATAATTGACACTGTCAGTCAAAAGTTTAAGACCACTTGTATGTACCAATTTTTTTTTTCTTTTTTTTTGGTAAATTTATCGTGCAACGGAATAATGATCCTGAGCATTCTTCCCAAGTTGGCAAGAGGATATTTGTAAGAAAAAAAAAAATTTTAATAAACACGAATTGGTCGCCTCAGTCACCTGATCTTAATCCATTTGAGATTCTACTATTGAAAGAGCATGATAGACTAGTCCAAAAGCGTCTAATGAAAGATTTTATAACGCAATATGCCAATTTGAAAGTTTTAACGAATTAATTGTATTATATTAATGTTTAAAACTCGTAAAAACTTGTGTGTTAAGAAATAAACAAATTATTTTTAAAGTTGTGCATTTAACTAATGTCTATGGACATTAACATTTGGATATCATGTAAAATGTTCCTTGAACAAAATCATTCTCCAAAAAATGATTGTTTAACATATAGTATGTGGTCTTAAACTTTTGACCAGCAGTGTATATATATATGTATGCACGTATTGTAATGAGAAACATCACGTTGCTTCCATAATGCATACAAAATTATACATAGAGTTCGACAGTTTAGATATGTAGTCAATCACAGAAGTCTATATGCATCTGTTAGCAGAATTAATTAATAGAACAGAATTAATTTGTTGGATTGATTCGAATTAACTTGTCGAAATTGTGAACGTAAATTTTTGGATGAAAGTGTTTAATATTTTATAAGCATTTTTATTTATCTTTTTTACATTGTATTTACTAATAATGTCCACTGTTGCTCAGTTACCTGCAAAATTTGTTAGAGAAACAAAAACTAACCATTGGACGTCTTAGATATGTTTGGCAATATCCCATAAAGGTTTTAAAGATGCCTTAATTAAAACACATTTTTTACGTTAAAAACCAGGATTTTTCAATATGTTAGCAGATATATGGCAATTTTGCCTTATTGATTTTATAGTAATATAATTAATAGTAATTATACAGAAATAATAAGACAGTAAGACATCTTTTACCGAAATTATCGATCTCCAAATATCAATTTATAATTTTACAGTCTTACATCGAATGAAATGATTTGTTAGATTTATTCTTGACATTTCGTTTGTTGATTCTATAGTAATTAATGGTAATTTAGAGAAAGAAAACGGAAGATTTCATAGAAATATGTAATTCTTGATTCTATCTTAAATTTAGATTCTATATAAAATCTACGATAAATTATAAAATAATTCGTAAATAATTGTGACGGTATTTACAATTTCAGAAAATTTAACTTTGTTTCAGATCAGGAAAAAAGTAACGAAAGACAAACGATATTTATTTTATACAAAGAAAGAACAAAAGTAAATATTTTATTGGTGTCTTTTTATCTGAGAGTTGAAAATGTAAATAAACAATTAAGAAAAAAATTATCTTGCAGGTATAACATTGAAATAGTCGTAGAATTTCGTTTTAAGTTCTAACATAATTCAGTTGTACAAGTGATTATTCGTACACAGATAATTGATTTATTTCGTTTCGTTTCATTTATTGCGAAGTACTTTCAATTTTTAAGAGTACTTTCTCTTTTTAACACACACACACACACACACCATGTCCCACATCGTGGGAAATAGGCTCGGTTCATGTGCAATGTATGATATATGTATACGTGTAAACATTAATCAAAGTGAGGAAATAACTCCTCTCGTCAGTTATATATAATTTTACAAAGAAAATAATACTGCAATACATGCAGTCAGTAGAAGTTTAGAATAACAAATATTCATTCGAAGTAAAACATTTACATTTGTCCTTTTTTTCAAAAGAAGAAGAATCTTCATAGGGATTATTTCAAAATATTTAAAGACATTAAGAAAAATTATTTCTTAGATTAAAAATTTGCTTTCTATTTGCTTTTACATGTTAGCCACAATATTCATTAATAATATAAATATTCAGCTACAGGAATTCTCAAGAAAGTGTATTTATAAAAAAAAAAAATAATTGTACAAAAACATTGTAATAAAATATTTCACTTAATACTATACGTATGTATATATGTATACGTGTGTATGTATTAATACACATACATATGTGTATGATGTTTCATTTAATATGTACGTGTAAACTTATAGTAAGGTATATATGTATATGTATGTATAATTTCGAGTACTTTATTAAAAATTATTTGCAGCAACATTTTGTAAAATAAAACAGTTAAGGACCAGATAATAATATTTTTCCCATGCATTCATGACGAATTAATTGTAGTTAATATAAATTAATGATTATTAATTTGATAAATTTATTGTATTTTGAACATCAAGCAGAAATGAATTTTCTTCATAATTTCAATAAAATGACGGGAGAAAAAATCACACCTCAAGTTTTAGAGAATCATTGTAAAGGAGAAGCTTCAATCTTCAAATTCATTGTAGATTCCTCCATAAAAAACATTTTTCAATGTTTTCATATACTATGACAATTTACAGCATTTTAAGAAGAAAAGTATCTTCGCTTATCCATTCGCTGCGTGACGTGAAAACATCTTCGAATAAAACATGGTGTATTTTAAAAACAGAAACCTCGAGCTTCAAAATGAACTGTTGTCGGATTTTTTTTTATGAAATTATAACAATTTAAATACATTTGGTGTCTGAATATTATATTAATATGAGCAATTACATTTTTCTTTTGAAAAGTATAAAAGAATAAAAGCTCCTTTTTTATTCGACAGTATATTTATATTAGATTAAAAATAGAAGGAACGTAGTTTATTGTATCGAAAATGAACACAGAAACGCTCTGTCAAGTTTTCGCGAGAAAAGGAAGTGACGCTGACGTTTTCAAAGCTGAAAACTCGTTAGATTTAAACGGTTAAAGAAGGAGAAAGAAAGGAAGAAGAAGGCAGAAGAAAACGAGGGCAACGTTTAAACTGCAGATTTTCATGGAGTGAAAACAGTGAATCAGCTGCGCCGTACAACTCTCTTTTTCAACTTGTCACTTTTTGTCGTGCCAAGCATCGAATTACTCTCCACCAGAGATTACAATTAATTTCGTTCGTTAATTGATGATAGACAAAAAGAGAAAAAGAAAGAAGAAGAAGAAGAAGAAGAGAAAGAAAATAGAAAGAGGAAAAAAAATCTACAAAAATGGGATGGAACATGAAGTGAAAGTGACCGGCTGAAACGATGTCTTTAAATTGTACGAGTTTCCATTTTCGTTTACTTGTTCCCCTGACGCAATTAGAATATTCCAGTAACGTAGAATGATCCGGTAGCAGTCTATTTTCCGACGGTTTTCAATTTTAGAGTGGAACTTGCGTCGTGCATACATATAAAATTTCAACTCGTAAAGTCGTAAATACAACCTAAATTATTCCGTGCTTAATCTTGAAGCAGTACCCTCGTGCACTGTCGTTAGATCACGGATGACAATAGTAATTTTAATTTTCCATTAAAATTCAAAGCGTTTGATGTTGCAGTGGTTTATATTTTACATTCTCCGTCGTTGAACATTTAAACGCGTAAAACTCGACGAAATAAAAAAAATTCCGAAATTAAGCAATTCAGAGTGATTTAATTGATATTAAATTAAATCGTGATTTAAGCTGTAATTTAAATTGTTACGGTCGAGGATGTCGGTTGATATTAAATGTGTGTTAGTAGTAAATGATATTATATGAATTGTATGTCGATAACGGACAAGTGGTAGTTACGTAGTACTAACTTCGAAAACTAATGTGAGAACCAACAGAAGCACACTAAGAAAACTGCGCACGATTCTTCGAATATCTTTCCTTTTCGCGAGGCAATTTCCCGGATTGAAAGCAGCACGAATTTTCATTTTCGAATGTGTGCAACTTTCTAAATTCTACTTCCAACTTTTCCGCTCAATATTTTCCATTCCTTCGTCAAATTTCATCAATTTCTTGTCCTTACATCTTTTACGTTACTTTACTTTCAATCGTGGTTTAAATCAAATATTGTTCCCGTATCGTAGAATAAAATGAACGTTTTATCAAACCATTATTTGCTGTATTATATAAAAAGTTGAGAAAATCTTTTTATGAATATCTATTTTAATATCTAGTGCTTGAGAATCTTGTACTTTGTACTTGAATTCCATACAATTTGAAATTTATTCAATCTTGAATAATATTAATCAAAAAACTATCTAAAATACATAAAATACCAAAAAAAAAATTGAAATACGATATTAGGGAAAAATTTAACATTCAATAAAGAATATTTTTTATTTAAGAATAAAGCAGAACTTTCCAAATTAAGTTGACAATCAATATTTAAATATTAATTTTTAAATAACAATAAATCAAGAATTTATAAAACGATAATAATGAATAATACAGTGAAATATATTTTACGAAGAATTATGAATTGATCATTGGTAGTTTTATTGTTAAATTTCTCTTAAATTTCCATCAGTAATTAGTGAATTTGAAATTTAGTTTTCATTTCAAATATTCGTAGAAACGTTCAATAAAATTCATTTCAGGGCTTCGAGTTGTCTACGATAGAAATTGATTATCTTTTTTCTTTCTCCATCCACCAATAATTTTTCTAACCAACAATGTTAACATCGAGCTTCTTCTTTTTCTTTCTTAAGAATAACAAATCAATATACCAGCATGTACCAGGTTTATTCTGACACGGCACAAAAGTTCCATTGACTTTCTTTAAAATTCCTTTCCTTTTAAATTTTTTATTCTTCCACTGTTTCTAAATCGAATGTACAAACATTTGTCACCAAGTTTTCTCAACTTCGTTTTTCTTTTAGAGAATTATCTCAAGATTTGCTACATTCTTCATAATTAGATGTCACACTTTTTATTTACATTATTATTCATATCTCGCAAATACTTTGGTCAGAACGATTGCTCACGTTGGCTCTTGTGATAAAATGCTTCTTGCAAGAATAATTTATTTTTACACACATGTTGCTACACTTCTTATCTTTAATTTCATAAATATTATTCCTCGACACATAACTATCTCTTCGATTTCCCAAGAAAATATATTCATTTCTTTTCTTTCGTTTACCATTAAGGAAAAACTAATTTCTCGATCGTTCATCGCATTTTCGAAATTCTTCCATTGTCACTTAAAACAATTGTTGTATCCGTTTTTCTTTAATTAATAAAACTACTTATCAAATATATAAGATATAAATAATAGAATTACTTATTAATAATGCAGTATTTATTAATTTGCTCATTTAATTTAATACAATTAGTTTCATTTATCAATTTGCCAATTTAATTTAATTTAATTTAATCCTGGCAAGTTTCCATTTGTGCTCACCCGTTTTCCCAATTTGTAATTGTTCCAGTAATCGAACGTAACGTGGAACGTATCCTGCAGTCTATTTTTCAGGCTTTTCCTACGTTCTTCAGTTCCAGAATGAAACTTGCGCAACAAATCTTTTAATTCCACATTATACGACCGATTCGCAGAAATGGTTGCTGAAAGCAACGTAAATTGCATTGATTTTCTTATCACTAGAAAAATACAAAACAATTATTTCGATTTCTCACGGTGATCGGTTACTAATTATTATTATCTGTCACTAATAAGCAACTAACTAATTTGGTAACTAGTAATTTCTCAATTTGATAATTTACTAATTATTATTATCTGTCACTAATAAGCAACTAACTAATTTGGTAGTAATTTCTCAATTTGATTTGGTAGTAGTTTCTAATTTATTTACTAGTATTATAATTATTATTATTTACCGGTTTTTTAATTTATTAATCTACTACAGTAAAAGTTCACTTGCATGAACTTGTTTATATAATTGGAATTTATATAATATCCACTAATTCTCCACTCTCACTAGTTACTTTTCTTATTATATAATGTTTGTAATAATATTTACAAAATATTTTATCACGATACTTTGCACACTGTGTTTAATTAAATTTCTGCTAGTTCGAAGCATAAGCTGAGCCATTTAATCGGTCACTGATTCAATTTTCCAACAAAGTTCAAGTAAAAATTCTATTCTAATTTCGTGATCAGCAATTGACCAATTCCAATTTAATTTGCCAATTCACCAGTATCTATATTCGCCAGAAATTTCATTTCTCGACAGATTATTATATTTTTTTTTTTTTTTCAAACGTTTCTCGCGCTCTCCCCGGCAGACCGATCGGCTCGAAACAATTAAATGCGAGACGAGTACTTTCGTTCTCCGGGGAATCGGTCCCCACTTCGTTTCCCCACCTGTTCGCGGCTGCAACATCGTCGTCGGCAACTCACAATCGTTGGTCAGTCAGTCAGTCAGTAAGTCAGTCAGTCAGGCACAATCGAACAAGTCGATGAATCGATCGATGCGCGAAACTATCGGCTATCGGTTCCTCCGAATTCTCGGTTCACGAACTTTCTCTACTGACGAGTGCGTTCACCTCGTTCGACAGCTAGCGACGTAGTGTGTAAAAGTGAGTTACAATCGATCGAGTGCCGAAACTGAGGGCAATCTGTTTTAAAAGGGGCAATTCTGTGATTTCATTGAACACTGTGGAGATTTGTGTACGAGCAGAATTTTGCAAACGAATAACAGAATGTAGAAAGTGAATTGTTATCGTTCGAGAGCGCCGAGGGAGAGATAGGTGAGATTTAATTTACACGGCGATTAATTGGCTGACTGCGGATGTTCATTATATTTTTATAAACGTAAATTTTATGTTCTACATCATTTTCTATATCTATGGTTTTTTACAAACATTCGTATTCGTACAATATTTTGTATTTCTATGGAATGATGAAGAATTTTAAAATTTTACTAATGGTAAAAGTTTGAGTAGTTTTCTTCTTATTTCAGAAGATTGGAATTTTATTGTTTCTTTGGTATATTGATTCCTATCTTTTCTCCTTTATATTGATTCTCTTATTACTTCAAATTATACTTTTAACGTTGCTTCAAACATCGAAGGTGCTGAAACACTGTCAGATAAATAATTTGATTATACAGTGTTCGAATTTCATTTAATATACTGTCGTTTGAAACGTTGTAATGAAATAAGATATTAAAATATTAATAAAAGAAGACGCAATCTCTCTTCGAGAAAATACTACGTATTTTCATATATGTTCATTCAAAGATCGAAGTATTACAAACTGTTTTCAAGTATCGTGATCAAAAATGAAGTCTATAAACAGATAGAAAAAAATAAAATTATTATTTATTATTATTATTATCATCATTGGAGAAAAATTGCTAGAAAAATAATATCTATGCGTTATCTCCGCGACTAGACAACATATTGGATCGATCTTTGCCACTGAATATCCTTAATTGCAATCGTGTAAAATGAGTCAGTGATAAACAGCTTACTCTTCGTTTGCATTTGCAAATGTCGACTTGACGAACATCGAAGAGTCTTTCACACGTAATTTATATGCAATATGCATGATTTTGATGACTCACGCGAAATCGACGGCTAAATAAGAAAGAATAACTTCACGGACAGTAATAAAATTTTGTTCGTCGATTGATGAAATGTAACGAGTGCATTGAAACACGACGAAATTAAAGAACGCCTCAAGTTTAAATAAAATATGAAGCTCTCATTGGCGTGATCACGTCAAACATCTTCTAAAAATATCCTTTTCGTCTGCCGAACTGTACGCAAGGTGGAAAATCCTTTACAAAGGAAAATCCTTTACTTAAAAGATTATTTTTAAAAAGGCAATTTCTTTAGAACTAGAACTAGAATTTAAAATTACACGCACGATCTACGAATGATAATGGTAAAACTTTCATACGTTGAAATATCATAGATATAATTGTGTGATGTAATATAAATTAAATTATAAATAATATGCTGTAACATAAATTACATAATTGTATATATTTATATTATACACACGTAATAGGTAAAATCGTACAGTTATTAATAATAGAATAGGTATAATTCAATTAACATGCTGATGGAAATGTAATGGGATGAAAATATTCGAGGAAAGGTACGAAACTAAAATACTGATTGTAGAATGACAATTGAAATTTCGGTAACGAGACGGAATCACGCTAATCTATTCCCTTCTGGCCAGGGGGCATGTCCAGTAAGGAGATTGGCACTTTCCTGACAGATGAAACACGTCCATAATTGTTGTATGTATAAGTCGTCGTAACGAGAGAGTACACAACCTCGTATCGAACTGAATTCACTCGATCGATGTAGTTAAATCAAGAATTTCACTTCCCTTCTCGTTCGTTTCCGTTTGGATTTTGACATACGTTAGTTTCACTATATATTCCGAAGTAATTACATAGTTGTCGAATTGTTGAAAGAAAACGGGAAGAATTTTAATGGGTACCGAAGATAACACGTGTATACGTTGATTCAAATATAATGAGTATCATATCGTGAGAAAAGAATGGTTAAAAATAAATGAAACAAAAAACGTAAGAAATTAACAGAAGTAAAATCTAGACAGAGTTTTATTAATATTTATATAAATATAAATATAAATATATATATAAATATAAATATAAATATATATATAAATATAAATATAAATATATATATGAATATAATAAATATAAATATATATATATATAAATATAATAAATATAAATATTTTAATAGATATTATATTTTGGATATTTTATATATTTTTATATATGAAATATCGTGTATCATATATGTATTTCACGTATTTTTCTGCATCCTAATTTCCCATGAATGCACAAAAATTCGCGATGTAATTAAATAACATTAAAAAATGAAAGAAACGCTTTTATTGCATTTTTAGTTTAACACGATATTTTATAAAAATGAAATATTTTGTTCCATAAATAAAATGTATGAATTTGATATTAATGGTATTTTCATTACTATTACAGAAGATCAAAATACAATATTTTCGTTATAATATTATACTCGTAATATTTGAAGAACGAAAACAATCCCTAATTTAGATTCTATTTCTTCAATAAAGTACACGAAAATTTAATACACAAATGAAATTTACATAAATATCCGTACTCTAATTAATACTCGGACACAAATGTCGTAAAACAAAATCGTACAATAAACTTCTTTTGAAACCTCTTTATGCACTTATACAACCTACAGTTTATCTTATAAATACATATTTCATTTTATTCTATGATACTTTCCTTCTCGAAAATGCCACACGATTATCATAATACGAACGTCAAACAACAACATTTAGCTTTCAAATATTAATTTCAAGTCACAATTGTCGAATAAATTCAATTTAATCGTTCTCGCTCTCTCAGTACAAAATTGCAATTGTTCCCGCATTTTTAATAACAAAAGAATCCCAAATTGATTAACATTAATAATATTGATTTCACTAATAACTCGAAAGTAAAAAAAAAAGTAAATTAAATCAAAAAAAAAAAAAAAAAAAGACAAAGATATAAAACGATACAGGAACAAAGAAATAGTGATGAATAAAAATTAGATATGATCATACACTTACTTACGGATTAATCTTACAATTAGCTGTACATTGGTTGAACAGGTTAACGAATCGTCGAAAATCACGCAGACAAAATATTTAGCGTCCACGGTAAACACCGACTTTCCAAACTTCCTGCGCGCTCGACTTCCTGGATACTTCCGCGAGATCGTTTTACCGAGAAATCTGCCCGATGGAAATGCAAATAATACATCACACACGACGGACGAAATCGAATCCTCGGTTTGGCTCGTGGGTTCGTACGTTCGCCTCGTATCGCGAAATTAACACGTGCCGGTCTCTTTGTGGAATCCCCGCGAATGTGTTAGACACGCGTTTCCGCGAACGGAGAGCTGTTTTTAAAAGACAATGTTGTCGCGCAAACGTGATCGCTTCGTTTGCTCGAAAAAGAATCTAAATATACGTACAGTCGGCCACAGAAGTCGATGTACAGTTGCTCGTGAAAGTATTCGAACACTTGCAACTTACGACTTGTGTATGTATAATAAGTTGTTGCATCTATGTTGCACGTATCTACACGCATCTATGTTACACATAGCAGTATAGGTGTCATGTATAATAAGTATTAAGAGAGGTAATGAGCAACATGATCAATATTATATTCGATTATATTTACATTTATATTTACATTATTAAAATTTACATTATTATTATTAAGATTATATTATTTATTATTTATATTATATATTATTTATTATTACTATTTACCAATTATATTTACATTATATGTACTATAGAATCATGTATATAATATTAAATATTTATTATAAAAATATAAATATATAAATATTATACGATATTAAATATTATATTTACTTTACAATATATGTACTGTAATATGGTAATGAGTAGATACTAACAGTGAGAGAAATAATACGTGATGTAATAATAAGTACCATGATATTTATGAAGTGTATTGATACAATAATTCAATTATATTATTTGTGCAATATACATGCATATGTATATCATATGCATTATAATATAACAATACTTACTTATATTATACTGTTATATAATATTACTTATATAAAATACAATTTCATTGACACTGTAATGGAGCATTTCTATAATCACAGGTTGGTCAGGTTTATATAAAGTATATATAAAAATCGTAAGTTATTTAATACAAGACCACACGCTCGTTCACAGAAATGTACAGTCTATTTAATTTTCGAAAGAAGTAGAATTTTCGATTATGATATAAACGCTTTAAAAATGCTGAAAATGTCGAGCAACAACTTATCGTAATATTATAAACACCTCCGTTTTCTTTAAATTGTTTCTATAAATGCAAGATGTGCAACGGTGTCAAAATGTTAAGCGAATCCCTGATATTTTCTTTCCGTGATCGACAAAGATAAGACAAGATAAAACGAAATATATGTTCAAAATTGAAAAAGTAAGATAAAACAAGCAAGTTTTCTTTGTAATTGTCTCCCTGGAAATAGAAGATTCTTCACAAATTTATTCAGAAACGGAATTCACGCTTATATTGCGATTCGAGCGTCATGCGAATGCAAGTTGGACCAGCGCGATACAACCAAGCGCAGAATAACTAAAGGAAATATTCTCAGCACTGTACACACAAACACCGACGGTACAAAGAGCAACCTCCTTACGTGGATCGTTAATATAACCAGCCGCGAAAGGAGAAGAATCTTACAAACTCAGTCGGCGAATTTTCCTCTTCAATGTTCTCTCGTTCGTGGGCGGAAAATTATTTCTCCGTGGAATGTTCGTATCCGTTTCTTCTTCTTCTTCTTCTTCCTTTTTTTTTTTTTTTTTTAATTCGTAAACTATTCCGATGTACTGATAAAAAAAATTCCTCGCCATCGTGCTTGAAATGAAAATTGTTTTTCGTTGCTTGGAAACGATTAAAGAATCGTTTCAAGCATGCTGATCGCATCGATCTGTTCTTACGTAAAAAGGGGAAAAAACGTGTTATTTAGTAGACAATTGATTAGAACAGACTGCTTACATGAAATTTACGCGCACTGTCTGGCGTGAGAGGTCGTTTCAAAAGTTCCTTTTCATTCTGCACGAACGTTTGAAATTTGTGAAAATTCATTAATAAGTGATTTTAATTAATTGAACGTATCTAGAAAGATTGCTTCTGCATGTGAGGCGTGAAGGATTGTTTAGAAGATTTTAAAAAATTCTGCACGTATAGTCAATTTAGTATCTGAGTTTTAAGAAAAAGAGAAATAAAGGAGTATGTAATTTAAAGGTATTAGAAATGCAGAATGATGTGAGAAACAACAGAAAAATTATTTTTCTAATTTCTCAAAGAATGTAATAAAATTGCATATTATTTTCAATATAACAGTACAACGTCATCATCTATCATTAGTGAAAAATCTGTAGAAAATTTCAAATTATTTATATTAATATGTGATCTTAAATATTACAGAATCGACGGGATTCAAAGTGAACCAAATGGTGCCACCACGTTGTGAACGAACGATAGAAGAACATTAATTAGGTACGTTGATCAACTTTAATTGTCTAACCAAGGAAAGAATTTTCGTGGCTGAAGAAACGATTTCATAGAAGTAGAATGAGGAACAAGTGCACGTGAACAAAATCGACATGCAATATTTCGAAATGCATTCCACGTTGATATTGGCGAACGTCGCAAAAAGGTGATTGGTAACTATTGGTTGTCCCACAGAAGTAGTTGTGGGAGAAGGATCGAGAATGGTGCTGAACACGTCTTTCATGTGTGTTACGGTGAGTGACATTCATTCTTCATTACGATACTATCACATAATGAAAATATATCTAATTTAGATTGATTGTATGCCAGTTACAATATTAATATAAATATCAATTGTATGTAATAATTATTATGCAAGTGTGAAATAATATTGTGCAAGGAAAAATTAATCCATTGAAAATGATCGTAAAACGGCAATTAATTTAATACGTTCATGTTATAATCAGAATGTAATGTAATATACATCTAACTTGAACATGAGCATAAAAGAAAATTTTGCAACGACAAAGAATTAAAATGTTACTACTAGATTGTAGATATTTATGTATGCAATGTTCAAAGATGCAAAAATATGCGAAAAATACACGAAACATCCAAAGTACAATATTCATTGGGAATATTTCATGGATGAAACTCACTATTTAGAATCCATTTCTAACAATCTTATACTACAAATGTGCTCTCAGATACAATTTTTACTACGCATGTTTCAATCATCTTCCTGACTCTTAAAGTGGATTTTCAATTTTTGCCTAATAGTTGGAGTTTATATTTATATTACAATAAATTGGAATAAATAAATTTTCCTTTGCAGCACTGGAATGAGATAATAGAGGATGACATGAATTTCCAAATACTGATAAAAATTGCATGGATGATACAATTATTAATGTGATAATGTGATAATTCACTTAAGTATTAATCATTCTGAATCGTCTCTGAATCATTTTATCACAATGAAGCTTTATCCTTGTATTTCACTTTTACTTGGTCGATTTAGTTTGTTCTTGCTTGATTATACTTTCTCATATCAATTTTATACCAGGAAATTTCACTATTAAAAAGATAAACTAAAAAGTACATTATGCAATATATCACATGGTGGTGCTGTAATGGGAAAGAGAAAACTGTGAGAGAAAGTGAAAAAGGAATGAAAATGTGTCTCTTTTATTACTTGTAATGTTAACTAATAATCATATTATATTTATTATTAGTTAACATTAGACGTAAAGTTAATGGAGGTCAGGTCATAGGACGTATTTTTGCATGGTCGGGACGGTTCTAGAGGACTTTTTGAAAATTCTATGTTGGCCAGAGCAGTCTCCTGGTCTGCAGTTAAAATATTTAAGGTGGACTTCATTTATTTAAGTGATCTATAAACGAAAACCTTCGTTACCCTACAAATGTCAGAGCTTTCACGAAAGTCAGATGTCAGACGTTACATCGTATTGGAGTGCAAAAAATGTGTATAATATAAAATGCAGTAACTGATATAGACTACCAGACAAATTAATTGATTCAATAATTAGAATTGTATATTCGTGCGAAATACAATTGATTTAAAATATTAATGTAAACTGTCATTCGAAAATAATTATATAATATACTTATTTAATTCTCGTAATCATTGGATATGAAATTTAAATGATCTTTTAGTACAATAATAAATAGTAAATTTAAATAATCAGAGTATTAAGAATTAGTATTGTTTGACTGATTAAAAATTATTCAGTGCATAATCCAACAATTAATCAAGAAAGGATGTTAATTTAATATCGTTAAAAAGCATTTTTTTTTTTTTGTACTTTTTAGTTTTCTTTATAGCAAATGATAGTTTAACAAAACGAATGTTCAGTTTATTCTGATGTCATGATGTATATGTTGTATGAAACACCGATTTTATTAAAAAACGCGTGCGAAGCTTGAAAATTCAGGCAAAACTGACAGTGTAAAAATGTTCATAACTATCGATCATAACTGTTGAAACGTAACGAAAATATCAATCTCTTAATGGAATTACACTAGGTGTCCAATTATTTATGCACGGTAGTGTATGTGTAAGATACCAACGCGGGACATCGTTCTGAATACTAATTATTGTTACTCGCACGGTGCAACGCGTTCGAATCGACTCGTGTGAAATTGCATACTGAGAAATTCGATGTTCGTTTCTTCCTCGTCGAACGCGACTCGCAACTTTGACCAATTCTTCAAAGTTTATTAACTTTCAGTTTATTAACTCTGAGCTCATCTTTAAATCCTAGAATAGAGATTCCTTGAAATATGGCCGTGATTTTTATTCAGAAAAATAATTTGACGACAGGATAATAAATGTTCCATGTTGAAAAACTTGGCGTTTACTTCTTCCTCGTCTGCAACTTCGACAAACTAGTCCTGCACAGCTTTTATTTATTAACTTTTAATCCGTTTGATCGTCTTTGAAAGATCGTCTGTAAATGTTAAAATAGGATTGTCTTTAAACACCAAAATATCGAGATCCGACACTGTGATTTTTATTCTGGAAATAATTTAACTAGGATAGGATAATTGATTGCTGAGAAATTCGACGTTCCTTCCTCGCGACTCGCAACTTTGACAAACTAGTTCTGCAGAGTTTTAGTTTATTAACTTTTAATCCGCTCGACCTGAGACTAATATTCGTTCCTCAATATGTGATTTTTGTTCTGAAAATAATTTGACGGTAGGATGATAAATGGCAAACTACGTACTGATGAAAATATAATTTATTTCTCTTTTTAAACGTGACGATGTAGCGAGGCATTCTATAATGAGGTATGCTATAATGAACCGAGTTTTCTTATTCAGTTGAAACGCTTACAACGAACAAATATGATAGAACTAGGTTGCGGATTTTATGCATTTGTGCAAAATTCCTTTTAGGTTCTATTTCTTTGATGCTTCGATTTAAAATCCGCGTCCCAATGAAAAAAAAAAAGAAACACCTTGTCTTTATGATTTTTTTGCAAATTTACATGTGCATTATGTACAACGTATGAAATTTAAATATAATGAATAAAAGTTATAATATAATATATTATATTAAAACTGTAATTAATATATATTAAAATATAAAATGTATATATAACATTATAAAACAAAAATACTCAAAGTAAAATGGACAATTAATTAAACTCGTAATGATTTTTAATATCCATTTTTATATCAAATATTTTGTCTTTACATCAAATGTCTGTTGGATGTGCAATGTTTCAGTAATATATTAAAAAGAAATCGAATTTTCCTTCCATTGATTCAAACCGTAGACTTCTTTGTGTGGCCGGAAGTAGCAGTCGGGACATCGATTTCCGGTCTCCATGTCTCTTACTAGTCTCCTACATGTATTACCATCACGCAAAGTCTGCATTCTTACCGTCTGATGGGATCGACCTTCGAACGGGACTACTTTCGCGTAAACGAGACATCTGATTAAAGAAAATATCGATCGATACTAATTAATCCATTAATCTACGAAATGTTCTAATATAATTATATAATATAAAATAATAATATAAATATAATATAATATAATATAGTAATATAAATATAATATAATATAATATAATAATATAATATAATATAATAATATAAATATAATATAATACAATAATATAAATGTTATAATCTAAAAAATATTTTCAAACAAGAACAAAGTCTATTGGTGATTAATAATGATAATATAAAGAAAAATCCTGCGGTTCATTCACTTTTCCAGTATATATATATATATATATATATATATATATATATATCATAAACGCACGAATATTTATCGACGTTAATTAGACAAATGTCTCCTATAATCCCTATAGCGTAACTAATAAATTTTCTTCTGTAACTATGACCACGAAATTTTCAACGAAAAATCAAATCGAAAATTCTTCAGTTTCTCCGTCTACTGAAGTACGAAAACTCGCATGTATCGAAGAGGACGTTATGCCGCGCTCGGCACAGCGTCCCATAGTCGCAACGAAATCCCCGCAGCGTAAGATTGCAAATATGAAAAGTACTCTCGTAGCAAGGCGAGCCGCGTGTGGACAAATTTCGTCGTGTCGGCTCCGCCGTGTGTAAAAATGCGGGGACACGAGTTTACAATAAGCTTCGTGTTTGCGGAGGGTATTGGCGTTTGTCATACAGATATTACATGGTCGACGAACCTTGAGAACTTCTCAGAACGAACGTAACGCCGTAGCGCATCCGTGGCTGTACGTACGAGGAACACGTCGTAGCAACAGACACGGTTCCAAACTCATTTCACGTACAAACCGGCTGATATCGGCGATATGAACGCAGAATTTTATTCACCGACGACGTCACCGTGCGCCATTCGACGTTTTATCGATGCCGAATGACCGCGAGAACTCCCCAGTTCCTTAAACCTCTCTGACGAGTATAAAAACCGGGAAACGCCTCTCTACGTCCTTAAACGACGGTATTTAAAAGTGGATGTCTTTTTTTGTACATTTGTTGGCAAATTTAAAACTACGAAAACACACGAAAGTAACAGGAAACAGATAAAACCCAGTACGTATTGTAATATTTGATGGATAAAACAGATATCTCTGTCTAGATTCTAGGTTTTTAATTATTTTTAAAAGACACGAATTCGCATAAAGTCCGCGTCATTTAATATCTATATCATTTGTGAATCGCTGGGAAAGAACACGAGAGAATGTTTAAATGTTCTTGCATTGTGTTATTTCTCCCTTGTGTCTGTCACTTGAGCCTCCCTCGTGTGAATCTCTGTCTCTCGAATATTACGTTGTCAGTAACTAGAAGCTCGTCTGCTGATATTCTATTCCAACAACATAACGCAATTTGAATAAGATACTCGAAGAATAAATAACGTCGAAAGTTATCGAGTGATAAATTTAAATTACAAATTTGATGTCGGACACGAAGGGTTAAATTTTCTCTTGCTTGATCGATGAAATATTTCAGTGTCTTTTCTTATATCATATTGTCCTGTAATGAACATCGAGACAGGTGTAATTATATGTCTAATTTTATTTTAGCTCTCAAATAGTATCGTTGGTTATAGATAACTATTCTTTGTGATAGAGGTCAAAATTAAAATTAAATAAAATTAAAAGTTTCAGAATTAAGTAATTTCTGTTTAACCCTTAAGTGGACTTTCGATTTTCTAGTTGAATAACTGGAGTTTGTTACCAAATTGATAAATAGAAACAAAATTTCTCCTGCACAAGCAGAATTAGATAAATCTTCGAATGAGAACATCAACATAATAATGCGATTATTAATTCGTAATCCCGAGAAACTGCAACAACTCGGATGATCCACTTAAGGATTAAATTCACTTTGAACTATTTAGATGTGTCGGATGTTTAGTCCTTGACCCTCAAATAGTATCGTTGAATCATAAATGGCCATGGATGTCAATTTATAATATTAAATTACTAAAATTCAGAGTATTTTGTTTTATCTCGGCGAGATTAAGATCGAGATGAAAATTAAATACAAATGATTGAACGTCGATCGACAGTTTCAAATGTTGATCTGAATGTGATAAAACGTCGCGGTAACCTAACTCAGTGGCGATGAGCGTCTGGCGACAGCGATAAAAATCGAGCATTCTTCCGCAATAGAATCGAAAAGAGGAGTGGCTTCGCTTCCATCGACTAGCTAAGGTCATAACGAAAGTTTAGCTGTCGTTTCTTAGGTGGCCTTTACCAAAGTCCGTCACGTACAACATGTGTACGTGCCTTGCGGATTTATTGCAGTACGTACTTCGTGGTTTCGTCATAACTCTGTGTGGCGTCGGGAATATGTCACATCCGTGAAATTTGATAAAAAGGCTCTTTCTTGGAAAACTTGCATGACATCCGCAGTTGAATTTCCACGATTGTCAAAGAGCATTTTTCTGCGAAACAATTCTTATTAAATTAGCGGACTCTGTCGTCTTTTCAGGTAAAAAAAAATTACATCTGCTGTGAAGTTTAACGAGGACGATTAAATCTTTGTTTTTAAAAAATTTTCTCATCTTGTTTATTTACAATTGCATTTATAAGTGCAGATCCAATAATAAAAGAAGTCGACATTTCAGTCAAATTTTTTCAAATCAAAATAACTTTTGATTCGTTGAAAGTAAATTATATTTTAATTATAATTTTAATTTTAATTTTAATTTTAATTTTAATTGTATAATTTTAATTTTAATTTTAATTTTAATTTAATTTTAATTTTAATTAATACATTTTAATTATAATTTATATTTTTCAAGTAAATATAAATATAAAATGATACAGTAATGGTATTTTAGATGTGTGACATTGGCAGAAAGAATTAAATGAGATAAAAGAGTCTTTTCGACTGAAATAACAATTAAAATTAATGAAAAATTGAAACAAAGAGAAACTTTACCAGGATGAAATTTCATGAATAGAATTATTGATCTCCTTTAATTATGAATCTCGAGAATTAAATATTTATAGAACTGAGTGCGAAACCCGTCCAATAACTAAATAACATCAATGCACTAAAACATAATGCATCTTGTTAAATTAAAATGATTGCCTACATGCGGATATAAATAATATAAAAACAATAGTACTTCAAAAATTCAGACGCCACGTTGATCAACTCCACATTATACTATAATCAATTCAAATTTACCGTAGAACTTGTTAATAATTTCTGCCATTTTGAGACAGTAAATAAAAGTAAATGATTCGTTTCTTAAGAATATTGAATATTAATCAAGCGCTTGCATGAGAGAATTAACGTAACAAATGAAAACGTCGTGAGAAAAAAAGAATTATTAGAAAACGAGATGTACAATCCTGCAACGTTTTAAAAATATAATAGAAAAAAGAGAACATCCTCCATTCACTCCGACGTGAGTAGACGACGATCACGTACTTGCGTGTCGAGCTCATTTCTATAGTTAAACTCACATCTATCGTGATACGCGTAATTGAGGAATTTACTCACGTTTACAGACCCTGGCGTTAGCATCGGCAGCCTTGATCGCCACGATAAACGCGAACCCATCGTACTACGTGAAGCCCATCGAGGACGAGAACGATTACGCTCGCGTCCTGGAGCTTTCGCTTTTGTTTTACGAGGCTCAACGATCGGGAAAGCTGCCGGGGAACAATCGGATCCCATGGAGAGGTGACTCGGCGCTCGACGATCGAGGACTGAACGGGGAAGATTTGAGCGGAGGCTATTATGACGGTAGTTGAGAGCATTCTATAGTATTTATGCACGTAGTACGATATATATATATATATAGCGACGATTCGATCAACCATCCGACGATAAGATGATCAGTGGAGACGGGATGTTATGAACTTTGAAGGTGTTTGGATCGTTACGTGGGGAGATTCAGAATGAAATTTCACTTTTGAGGTGCTGTTCGATCTTCTTTTAATTTAATTTTTATTCCATTCGCGGACGTGACGCGTTAGAATTGCAACAGAGATAAAACTAAATGGAACGATAGCATACATAGATATTCAAGTGATATGTTGTATAAGAAAAGCAAGATTTAATAGTAAAAAAATTACATAATTTTCTTGTGACTAGTGTACAATGTATCGTGGAAGTGTACCATACGAGTCAGAAATGTCGAAATTTTATTTTCAGCTGGCGATTTCGTGAAATTCGGCTTTACCATGGCCTCGGCGACTACCCTTCTAGCATGGGGTGCAATCAGTTGGCCAGAAGCTTACATCGCGGCTGGCCAACTCGACGAACTTCGCAAAGCTATTAAATGGGCTACCGACTACTTCATTAAGTGCCACGTAAGCGAATATGTCTTTTACGGGCAGGTCGGCGAATTCTTCTTGGATCACACGTTCTGGGGAAGACCAGAAGAACTCAATACCACTAGACCTGCTTACAAAATTGATCCAGAGCATCCAGGTATCATATACATATTACCGTTATGATACAATTATCGCAAAAACATGTATTTCATAAAAAAACGAATAAATTAGTACACACCACTGTACTAATTTAATACATGTTAATACATGCTTAACCAGTAGTTATTCATTTTAACACACATCACCGTGTGATTAATCATTGTTCATTTCACTAGATTCGCTACATGTGCTTAACCAATGTTCGTTCATTTTATTATTAATCTGTTCGTATAAATTAGTTTAATGACACTTCATTTTATAAAATTACATCTTATATTTGCCCTTTAAATTTCCTTCCGTGGTAACTCGATAATGATCTAATTTCTGGAAGCTACGATTCAAATATCACGATCCTTTCATCGTGAACTTCTCGAGAGAAAATCTGTCGAAAATCTCTCGCACATTCCAGATATATACTACACATTATTAGCTTCAAACGAAACAGGCAACATAATGAGTGAGTTTCACGGGAGTTCACAGTTTCAAGAGAGAAACCAGTGTAACGTGAATTTGCCGAGTGTTCATAATTTCGCGTGAAACTTTCGTCAAACATGTATCACGCGAGGTGCGTTTCTCCCGTCTATTTAACTTATCTGGCAGCGAAACATCCGGAAATATTTGTTTCAACTGTGCAGCATTTATCTGCAAGATATAAAATATCGAACAAAGCAGTTGCACCGTCAGACACGAGAAATGATCGTCAAAGCGACGTACTTAATATTTCTTTTCTGTTAAGTCCTCGCGCAATAGAACTTTAGAGTCTTCCTTGATAATAATAATATTACAATGATTATTATAAGGACACCCATTCATTTAACAATATTTCTCGACAGTCAATGTGTAACATTCATTTCACTTTATATATTGTATCTGTTTCTACAAATACTTTCTGTTTCTATAAAAGATTCATTTGCTTCGGGCTCAAGATAAAGTTACTTCACCCAGTTTAAAAAGCAACAAATTAATGGAAATCTTTGCTGTTTTTTTTTTTTTTTTTTTTTTTTTTTGTCTTCATTACACATACTAGGCAACAAGTTTTCGATCAAACGCAAGCATTCGAAAGTATTTGAAAACATTGAAAACTTTTGCCCAAGGATAAAATATATCCTTGTGTCTGCTCGAAATATATATATGGGAAACTATATTTAAATACGTTCGAACGCTTGCGTTCAATCGATAAACTTTCAACTAGGGATAGTAAAATTTGCCCTGTCACTACACTGTTTATTATCATCATATTATCATCATTCTAGGATCGGACCTCGCAGGCGAAACCGCTGCTGCCCTCGCTGCAACCAGCATAGTTTTCCGCAACCACGATCCAGAATACAGCGACAAATGTTTAAAACACGCAAAGGAATTGTACAAGTTTGCCAATAGATATCGCGGCCTTTATAACGAAGCGATCCCTGGAGCAGCACTGTATTACGAAAGTACGGACTACGGCGACGAGTTGGCTTGGGCGGCGCTGTGGTTGTTCAAGGCGACGAACAACACGATGTACTTCGAGGAGGCCGAACATCATTATCAGCATTTCCATCTCAAAGAGAGGCCGAACGAATTCTTTTACAATAAGAAAGTCGCTGGCGTTCAGGTAATTTCATTTGTCTTACTGGGTAATTCGAAATGACTCGTTTTTTGTTATCTTCAATTTACCTTTCGTTCGACTTTAATTTCATTTACTTTTGTTTATAAATTAATTCACGAAAATGGACATAATAAATTCGAATAAATGTATCTCCATTAATTTTTAAACAAATATTAAGCGACTCTGTCGTAATTCATGGATTAAATGCCCTACTGACAATAAAGAAATGAATGTTTAAAATATTGTCAACGAATATATGTTACAAAAACATTGCAGTAGAAAATAATGTTATTAGTACTTGTAAAATAAATCATATAATATATTCTCTTATTATAAATATATAATATATCTATAATATTAGTACTTGTCAGTACTTGTAACTACATTATAATATTAGTACTTATTAATACTTGTAAAATAAATTATATAATATATTCTCTTATTATAAATATATAATATATCTATAATATATCTATAATACATTATATTATAAATATATAATATATCTACAATATTATATCTATTATAAATTATATAATATATTCTCTCTAAAATATATTCTCCTACATTTAAAATATAAGATATTCTCTTACTATAAAAAAAAAAGATTATTGTCTTATTTATAAAATTTATCTCATCATGTTCGATACAGTCATCATATCGTAACAATATCGTCAATATAATGTTGTTCAAATAAAAATAGAAGACGTTGGAAAAAGTTAATAATATCATCCAGAAAAGTTGGCAGCGAGCCGCGATATGCATACCACAGGCATCAAGCTGAAATATTGGTTGATTTGGCAGATGCTGTTGGCCCAGATAACAGGACAATTGGAATACCAAAAGGCAGCCCGTGCTTTCTGCGATTTCTCGGTGCGCCAGCAAAAACGTACGCCGAAGGGATTGGTTTACATCGACAAATTCGGTACCCTCTGCCACGCGGCGAACGTGGCGTTCGTTTGCCTGCAGGCGGCTGATTCGCACGGTATCGGCGATCCCCAGGAATACCGTCAATTCGCCGAGCAACAAATTCACTATATGCTGGGAGGAAGCGGTAAGCTTACTACGATGCGAGATGACTCGCTTGGAAATTGTACAGGACGATTCAAAGATGCAAATCTCTCGACGAGACGAGTATAATTCATTCAACTGGGAGGAAGCTCTGTAAATTGATGCGACATCATCTCGATTGGGAGTTTTACAGATTCAAATGTACAAATTTTGAAACAGATATCAATTAATTTGGCGAAGAAGAGACTCACCTTCGCGAGTATTCGACACGAAGATCGTGATTTTGTAACAAAAAAAAAAAAAAACGGTCTGTATTGATTTCTCGAGAGAAGAGTGTCACTTTCTCAACCGTTATACAAACAGACGGACTACACGATTGTCAAAGTAGCTTTACACTTTAAAACGAGACCAAGCACATTTTTATTTGATCTCTCTTTCACGAAGTTACATTAATTTAAATGACCGACCGTTTTTAATTGTTCGCTGCAACAGTCGGATGCCAAAATGAAGGTTCGAATAAAGGCGATTCCATTTCTCGTTATATGAAATCATATCTTACACTTGAATAATGTATGTTTCTACTTGACACTGTCTTTGCATCGTGTTCTCACGTGACAGAAATATTTGAAACGATCGAATCACTTGATGATTATTATTAATCAGAATTGCTTTCATCCCGATTAGGCAGGAGTTACGTAATCGGTTGGGGCCGAAATCCTCCGAAGCAGCCTCATCACGTAGCCTCATCGTGCCCCGACAGGCCAGCCCCTTGTGGATGGTCCGAACTCGACAAGAACGCGCCGAATCCTCAAATCCTTTATGGTGCCCTGGTCTCTGGCCCCGACGAAGCGGACAAGTTCCACGATCGTCGAGAGGATTACGTGTACACGGAAGTCACTGTGGAGTACAATGGAGGATTCACGAGCGCTCTGGCCGGATTGTTACAGCTGCGAGTTAAAAGCACCACGTAACGCGCGATAACAGCCCGCCACTTTTGACCACGAGGTCGAGAAATTAATTGGACCTCTGACCTCACAATAATCATCGAACTAGACTTTTTCGTGATTGTGTCGGAGGAAATTCTGCAACTTTCCAACGAAGGATCTTTAGGACTTTTTTTTTTAGGAAGCACCGTTTCTCCAGTATTTTTTGAGACAGTGAAAAAATTAATAATTAGATTGTGAATGTTTGTACATTCTTATCTAGCAGATTGATGGAGTTCTACGTTCTTGATCATATATCTTTATTTAAGATTTCATGCGTGACGAATGGAAAATTCAAACGATTGAACGATCACATGTAATTTATTTATCGACTTAAAGGTGTATATAATATAGCAGTAAGTTTAATAGAAGAAAGTTTTCGTTTAAGAATTGAATGTAATATTCGTTTGATAGTTGGTGTAGTTAAAAATATGTTCAGTTAAAACAGTCGGGTAAAAATTAGACGTGTAATAGATATGTACATATATTCTCGTTGAAAATTCGAAAGATTAAATTAGGAAATGGGAAGCTTATTTAACGCTTTTTTATTCTTTAGAGAAGCATTTAATTATTGCAATTAATTGAGTAATTTAAATAATTTGCTAATTCACCATGTTGTACATAATATTCCTCAAAATTGGAAACTAGTTCCCTCGTTTTATTTAACGGTAATATATGTTAACTATAATAGTTATTTAATAATTTTATGAATATATGTGAACTATAATAGTTATTTAATAATTTTATAAATATAGTGTATTATAAATTACATAATGCGCGTATGAAAAGAATTTATGTATATTAAAATTTTTTCTATTTATCTTCGCGGTTAGGAAATTTATATTTCCCTATAAATATCTATTGTTTCTTTTAACTTTATAATGTAAGACGAGCTTACTACGATAATTACAAACATTCGTCCGATTAGAAAGTAACATAAAATCATTAGCTTAAAGTAATTGAAACTATGAATTCTAAGATAGCATAGATCCAGCAGTCAATTGTTTTTATTTATCCTCTTTTATTTATTATTATTATTATTATTAGTGATCTTTTTTCTAAACTTATTATTTCATTAGATTGTGGATGAAGATGAAATTCGCAATGTAAGCCTCAAGATGTGCTTCTTTAAAAATAATATCAATCAAATTTCAAAATAGATCTCTAAATTCGATACATTCTGTCCAAATAATTTTATAATTGTTACAATTAAAATCTTCAGTCGATTATCTTTGATAATTTTGGTTCATATTTATACTTTCTGATCTTCCTAATTTTTCACGCGAATGATAGATTGCCTGTTCTCCTAATGTAGCTCTTGGAATACTTATATTAGAATCTTATGTTAGAATACAGAAAGTTATCCTACCCAAAGTTAAAGTTTCAAGTTTTATGAAAATCTATTCGAATTCAATACTTTGATAAATAATCTAACTTTTCCTCATACGATATTAAAATGTTAGAATTCATGGACTTAATTCATGTATTTTAATTATTTAAATTTGTACAATTCATATGCTCCCCAATATATTCGATATGTGTAACGTTTTACCTACTGACAAGACAGTTTCTCCTACGCTGTTATAAATAAAAAGAATCGAATACTTTCCTCGTAACCTTACGGTGGTCGTAAAATTTATTCACATATAAAAATACCTTACATGAGTATCGATATTATATTATAGCGGAATAAACTCGTAAATGTAACATTGAGAAATGTAAATATTCAGTTTCAATTCGAAAGCTAGTAATTTATAATTGTTATAAATAAATTGTTTCACGATAATGTAACAATACATTATTATTGCATTCATTTGTATTAATAATGTGTCATTACACTCATCAAGTATGATAATGAGCAAATAAAATGCAGTAATAAACAGGAAACAGGAAAATTGGTTTCCTGCAATCAGAATTAACAATTGAGCACAAATTTTCAGTATTCATTACATTTCTAAAGGTAATTTTTAATTCAGAATTTCGCCGTTCAATTATTATTTCATGTGATAATGTAACAATATTATTGGACGAAAGATTTCAATGCAAATTTATATTTTATTAAAACTCGGCAGAAGATTATTCTACGTACTTTGAATATTTTACGCATTTTTTTTTCTCTTTCTCATACTATATGCACCTACTCTGTGCAACTCTGCATATTAAAATTTCCAATAAACGTATAAAGATCGATTTTGCGCTTTAAAATTTCCAACGGAATCTCCAAAACGTGTAAAATTATATTTAGAAGTTTCTCGAAAGCTTCTGAAAAATTTCTACGTTTAAAAATTTCCAAAAAAATGCGCGTACAAATTTTAATTACTGTTGAGATAATCAAGCACAGACGTTTCGGATATATTTCATAGCTAATTAAGACTTGGATCACTCGCCAGTGTATCCATGTATCGAATGAATATACTCTTGACCGATTGTTCCATATCGTCTCCAGTTACTTACATCGAAATACGATTTTTCCATACCAATTGCGTCAGCTACTTTGCTTCAGGTGCAGTCACTATCGAACAACGTTCGATATCATGTTCCTATCGTTATGGAAGTGAAATGTGTCGTATTCATGTACTTTACACTGTTTGCTCTATTGTTATTGATCGTGGAGGTTCGTCTCGGGAGTTTTAACGAAAAGGGTAGGTGTATTTATTTGGACTTGAGGAGGCAGGTGTATCTAGCTAGATTTTTTTCCACATATATTGATAATAATGATAGAGTAATAGGTGTAAAAGTAAAGATTAAAATTTATTCAATATTATACCATATTCTATTTTGATCAAGATAAATGTATTCCATTTTCTACGCTTTATGTATTTTTGTATGTTGTATTATATTCTGTACGTTTCCAACTTTAAATTTTCGATAAAAGATATAAAAATCCATGATCTAGAATAATTCTATAAATCGTATAATGTCAGAAAAGGATTTTTAGAAAATTTGGAGAAAGAGATTGAGTATAAAGTCAACGTATTAATATGACGAATAACTGATTATTATTTTATATACTTGTATTATATGTGTATCTTTCATATAATAGTTTTATTACTTGTATTACTTGTATCATACGAACCGTTTAATGCAAAAATGATGTAAGTCAAGAAAATTAATTCTTGTATAAAAATATCAAAAAATGTTGTATCCTTTTTACATGAATTATGGCAAACTTATATCTAATATTAATCTTTTGTAATGTAAATCAAATCAAATAAATAAACACTTTTGCATGAAACGATTCATATATCTTCTATATATATGCGTGTATGTATTTTTGGACTTTTCTCAAATTTCACCAATATAATCATAATAATTGAATGTCACTACAATGTTAATTTGAAAATATTTCTTATAACAAGATACATTTATGAAAGGCTTTTATAAATGATCGAATATTTTCATGACCAAATTTTGTGCTTGATTGCAGGAACTATCGATGGCAACGATCACAGAGGATGTGCATATTTACAGTGCAAAGGAAATGACGTCTGTGTGCATCGAAAATTTCGATGTAAAGATCCTCCGTGTCCCAATATGCTGTACTGCGCAAGATCTCGAACAGGTATGTAAGTCTCTCAACAAAGATACTACTCGTCGTCGACCTCCCCCTTGTTGCTGAAATTGAATTATATACACGAGACAAAGCGTACAAAGAACACCGTTGATGCAATTTCGTATTCTGTGAACGGGCTCAAACAGTTGTTTAAGATATAAATGAGTAAAGTAAAGCGTTTAAGTTGTAAATAAGACAGAAATTGGGTAAAAGTCTGCAAGTTTTCCTCATGGGTAACTATCAAACGAAAAGTTGCAATTTTTCTCGAGGCATGTAAATAGTGTTCAGGTCTATATCTCAATTCTTTTTAATTCAAAATATTATGAAATGACATAGTTGTTTGGCTGCAAGGAATGAAAGAAACAACGAAGGAAAAAAAATTTTTGCCTTGCAAATAAAAATGTATTGTGTGCTAAATTATAGAAATTATTCGATTTTTTCAGTTTATTGTTAAAGTTGCAGATGAGTGGTTAAGAGATTTTAATAATAATAATGTTTTTTTTTAAGAATCTCTAAGAGGTCCTTCCACCTGTGACACTGTACATTGCACCAATGGCTATATGTGCACGTTAAAAGTTCGTCGTTGTCACTGGGACGAAAGTGAGTAATACTGCAATTTTTCTCTTTTTTTTTTGAGAGAGAGATAAATCATTTATTATTTTTTCAACGAGAATAATTTGATTTATCACTTTCTCATTCTTCTATATATATTTATATTTAACGTTTCATTAAGGAAAGAAGAAGTTATCAATAAAATATATATATATATATATTCAGATAACTGAGGAAAATAAATGTGTCCACAGTTTTTAAAATTTTCATTGTAAACATATTGCGAATAGCAAAACTACTAATTTCTTTAGTAATTAAACTTTACATAATTATCATCACACCAAATATGTTTACAAACAATAATCTTTATGTATGCCATTTTTTTTAATTTAAAAAAGCTAGAAATGTATTGTTTCATTGAGTATGCGCATGTAAACCAACTGCGTTTTAATTAGAGTGTGAGCAACAGATAGCAAGATGTGTATCTCAGAAGGAATATTACGAAGGTCCAGCTTCCTGCGCCGGGTTCAAGTGTCCTCAAGGAAATCACTGCATCCTCCGGGAATCGTTCTGTGCCAACCCTCCCTGTAAATTAATACAAACCTGCATGAAAAACAAAGGTCCGTCATATTATCTTTACGTTACTATAATTTCAAAATTTTTTAAATATTCATACTATAATATTTTATTATATATATAGAATTGTAATAATTACCATTCACTGTATATATGTAGTTGTAAACTATATAAGAGTTTTATGGTATCTTTTTACTCCTTTTACTTATGGTAATTTTTGTCAAATATGAATCTATCACCCTTTTTTAACCCTTCAAAGACGACGTCTGTACACTCTTTATCAAAAGTTATTTTAACAGTGCTAAATTTCATAATTATATTAAAGTAATATGTCTAATTATTATTATTAAAGTTATTATTATTAATTGTAATTATTATTAAAGTTTAAGCCAGTTCAAGTAACATGAGACGTCGTTTTCAAATAAATTTTGCAATAAATCAGTGATTATTTTCGTAGATGTGCAGCTTTTATTTGTAAAATGTCGACATCTCGGTTGTCCATCGGAGTATGAGTGTTTCTTACGAAGACCAGAGAGTGACTGTGCGAGTCCACCCTGTAGGCATACACCAGATTGTATAATGGCAACAGGTAAAATTTAATTAAAATTGAATTAATAATTAAAACGATTCTGTAAATTGTATCTGTACATTAATGTCATATCTATATTCGACAGTAATTTTAAAAGAAACAATTAGTAACTATGGATTTATAAAAGAATTAATTAGCTCTGAGAAATACGTAAATAAATTAATACAAACGAACACGTTTTATTTAAGCTTATTGTAATTCACTTTTTAACCACACGAGGAATAGGAAACAATTTATAAAACAGTTTTTGTTCAATTATTTTGGAAAGAATTATTCATTCTAAAAACTGCAGCTACCACTCTAGTGATTTCACTATTAATATTTATTAAATGCACATGTTACATAGCGCACTTGCGTTTCTTTGCAATTTTTCAGAGAACGAAATGACGAATGTACATTGTCGTGGATGGGTGTGTCCACGAATGCAAACATGTTCCGCAAAAATTGTAGAATCTTGCGAGACAAACGACTGTAATATTAAAAGAATTTGTCACGAGTCACACGCAGTGGCAGCGAATGATTCTTCTTCATCTTTCTCGAGAAGATCTCTGAAGAACAAAGACGAAATTTCCCTAAACGATACTGAGGAGGTACGTTTCTTCCTTACTATACAGAACGATTTTTATACATTAGATGGAAATATTAATACAGATATCCCCCTTTTTAACTTGTGGTAACCCTTTGAATGTTTAATCCGTATTACAGTATTGTGCAGATAACCTTATAATCGAATTGTCGCACACAATTTAAATAACAAGATATCTAATTTAGCACGTTAATGTTATATTATTTAAAATTAGTGGGAATTATAATAATGAATTAATAATATATTATTTAGAACTAGAAATCTTATATTATAAATAAAATCTGCAATTATGTTTTCTGTCACAGTCATATAATTCTCGTTAATATTTCTATGTTATGAGGGAAACGTATAAATAAAATTCAAAGTTTCTCAAATTTATCATTCGTTCAATATTAAAAATGATGGACATTTTTCCAGGTATCTGGAAACACGGATGGAGTTGAAAAAGCAGGGTGAATATCACATCTTAAGTCATTTTTATTTTATTTCTACAGAACAAATTGCTATACGTAATATTCCTTTTTCTAAATTATGAAAACTATATCTACATATTTTTTTAAGTAAATAAAAATTATTCATTTGCATGATGAGCACTCCTGAGTCGTGGCTGAATCATCTGAAATCGAAAACGGAATTGGACGCAATCGAATTGTGGATAAAACACGCCGAGGAACATAAGGATTTCAAGGTAATGCTCAAATACTAATTATTAGATTAGGGACTTCTACACAAATTATTTTTGTACAATACAGTTGTCGAAGTTGAGCTGAAATGGAGACTTATTTCATCCCTTGTATATTATAGTGAATAACATAATTTTTGTACATTCTGTGCATCAGTTGAATGCACTTAATTTTATTTGAGCATAAAAACCTGCAATCTACCAATTATATCCTAATTGTCCACAAAATCGTTTGATCAAATATGCATTAAATTAAATTAGAACTAATTTCAATTATCAATCTCCTAAATTTTGCCTTCATTAGCAAAATTTAAATAACAAAATTGAAAATCAACTTCACCATTTACCTATGTTTACATTACAACATTCCGAAATTTTTTAATTAAGAATCTTGAACGACTTCTGTGATACAAAGTTCCATTGTACCCTTCCGTAAAAACTTTCCAAATTAAAGGTCTCAAGCAGTTTCTACAGTATGGGTAAGCCTCAGTAATCCTCTTCTCGCAAAAAACTTCCAAACACACCAAAATTGAAAATCTTAAACAATCTCTACAGCCGGCTATTTCTTTTCTTCACTCACACGTTGCAGAATCCTTTATACAACGTTTTTATCCATTTGCTTTATCAACAACTCTTTCATTTTTATTTCGTATTTTTCATCTGAAGAAATATTTCTTGAAGTAATATTTCAAATGCAATTTATGATTCTGTCAACATGATTAAATGTATCAAAAATGATTAAAACTCCTCACAGAATCTCACGTATGTTAGTTCGAATATGTACCATTCACTTGAGATTAAGATAATCCTGAGGTTGTTATTTTATAAAATAATAAGATCACACAAGATATTTCTAGAATAGAAAATAATAAAATAGCTGAAATTATTTATCATTCGAAGTTCTTATCTTTTATCTAATATCTCTCTGTAGTCTCTCTATATATTCGATGTAAAAACCTAATCTCTGATCTGCTACTTACTGGTCTATCAAAGCCACAAAGGTTTTCCCAGCATCCTCAAAATACGACCTAACTTCTCTCTGAAGCTCTTCAGATCTCCCCGACGGGAGGATTATTCAAGAATAATAAAATAACTTGATTTATTCAACAAAGCAGAAAATTGTTTCATATTTTTTATTTACTATCTATCTATTCCAACTATTAAAACAGATCTACCTTCTTCACGTGTTTTTAAAGTATCTTTAAAGTATTGTAAAATATTTCTAATACAAACACAATGATGAGTATCCTTATATTTAAATAAAAAAGAAAAATCCAAATCCAATATCTGTTTTCAGAACACACACACACACACACACACATCTGCATTTATATCAAATATATCAAATGTATCAAATATAAAATATATTAAATATATCAAATAAAAATTATATCAAATATATCAAATATAAAGTATATCAAATATATCAAATAAAAATTATATTAAATATAAAATGAAAGACAAGCAATAATTCGAAAATAAATTCGAAGACAGAAAGACAGAGAGAAATATTTAAATATATAAATTAGAAAAAAAGTAGATAACAGAAATAATATCATTGCCCATCTTTTCTCATCGATATATTATAAAAAAATAAACCAATTCTCTAATTTGTCCATTTGTTGGTCCATCAAAGCCACGAAGGTCTCTCCTTTCAAAACCAAACTTCCCCCCTTCCCCATCTCGCCGATAAAAGCACTCGAGCATCCGTTATTTCCAGCAATTCCAAGATTGGCTTCGATCTATCAAGGACATACTCGGCTCTGCCGCGTACAGTGGCTGGCTCGAGGAAATTCTGTCGTCGCGCGGCGAGCAGTTACGAAAATGGCTACGAGCATCGCACGACAAGCTGAATGTCGGGGGGCCGATATTTCCGGGGCAGGAACGACCCGGCGGTGCATTGACGGAAAATCCATACGTAGTTGGCGATACGATGGTAAGCGCACGATGGAATTTTCATCGAAAGACCGACGAGCGAAACGAGGGAATCGCATGGGCATTATTCACGGTCGCAGGGGGTGAACTAACTCCCGCGTTTATTACGCAAATGGATCGTTTAAATTATGTTGCGTAAGTTCGTTCGGGCGAGCGTGATTTGTGGCGTGAAGCACACGGAGAGAGAGAGAGAGAGATAAATGTCGGTACGATAAAATTCTAAGAAAATTATCGAGTAATGAATGGAATCGTGTAATGAAATGAAGGGGACTAACGTCTTAAGTGGTTAATTTATTATTGTTTAGTTAACTTTTAATTGTAAACGAAGGGAAGGATGACGATGACGATGATGCATCGTGTTCGAAAAAGAATTAATGTGTTTAGATTGATTGATGGGAAACAGGTACGAAATAATATACAAAAAGTACATAAATTAAACCGCCTCGGTTAAGTAAAAATTAAATATTGAAATACTGGTATTAATTATATATAGTCAGATTATCGTAAATCACGCAGTTCGCGTAGCAGTAACATTAAATTTGTTAAAGTGTTATTAAAGCTTCAAAGCTCTTTGAAATAAATCTTTGAAAGAAAATTAATTACGATCTGTAAATTGAATGATTCCAGAATACATCTCCGTTGGACGACTCGAACAAAGAAATAGAAAAACTTGTGTCTCTTCTGAGAGAGAGAAACTTGACGAATATTTTAGAAAGGATTCTTGTTCCAAGCAGAGTTCTATTACCACCTTACGTAGCTTTGGATGCTGCACTTTTGAACAATGCAAGAGAATCTGATTCGCCTTCATTCTCCAATTACCTTCTGAAATATCCTCCTCACGTGGGAAGCCAATTTTTGCCATTGCGACCGCAGAAAACAGAAAATACTTACGATCAACGGTATCTTGTGGTACCAGTGAAGAATATGAAGGAATTAACCAATTCTCAAATCATCGATTATAATTCCAACATAGAACGTTACCATGAAATTACTCCTGAGAATGAAAAGATGTCTGCTGAACGAGATAACTCTTACTCTATCGTGAGTATTACTTTGATGAAAATTAGTCTCGTGTATGCGATAAAGAAAATTTTACATTTCTATTTGTTCTTAGTCATATCGAGAAACAAGTGAAGAAAAGTGACAATTTAATCATTCGCTTAATTTTAGTTTTAGTTGTTAATGAGTAATTTTAATTTGTGCGATACTATTCTTCACTTAAGTATTAGTTTTACACCTTAAAAAAAATTATATTTAAACAACAATTAATGAAAGTTTAAAAGAGCCAATAAACGAATAAAGATGAATATGCGAGGTTATTTTTAATCCTAACTCCAATTTAATTTTGCATCTAAAGAAACAACCACATCTAACCGATTGAAGTTCAAGTAGAATGTTAAAAAAAAATTAATAAAGCAGTGACATAAATATAACTTAACAAAATAAAAAAATGTTGTAAAAGGAGTTTAGGATTCTAGTATTAATTTATTTATTAAATTGTTTTTTCACTAATACAGAACTGTTCTTTAAGAACGTTCCAGAGAGGAAGATAAATTTATCATCGACCAGAAACGATAACTCATCTTTGAAGACTGGATTGTACGAGGATTTTGAAAAGAAGCTTCCTAGGAAAGAAACACATTCTGAGGATTCGATTGGTCTTTTGGGAGACAAAAGGTTGATGGGTAAAGCGCAGCACTTTGATGACGTTCCTGTTGATTTCCTGGAGAAGTTTCTTAAATCTATGCAGCTCTTCCCGATTGAAAACGTGCCACAGACTTTTGATGAGAAATCTATTGAAGAATATCGCAAAGACGTAAGTTTTCTACGAAGCCTTTGGTACAACTATAATTGAACAAAAGTTTCTCTTGAAAGAGAACTGTTCTTTATGCATAACACTTACATAATTTAAAGAAACGCAAATAATTGTTACATTTCCTTCATTAAAAAGAATACAAATGATTAAATAGCAATTATTACATTTCGTTTCACATAAAATACAAATGATTAAATTCCTTTGTTTTATTTCTTCTTACTTTAATACGCATATTCAAATCGAAATAAAAGGTTCTTCAATAATTAATAAATATTAATAAATGTTCTTTCTTCTTACCTATAAATATTAATTATTAATTATTCTGTTCTTCTTATACTTAAGCAAGCACCACTTAACAAGTACCCCTGTCAGGATTCATCTAAAGCTCCAGAAAATGAGAAACACGATGAAAACTTCGAATGGGATTTGACATCTAGAAATAAAAATTCTGAAGAAAATGAGCATCAAGTTTTTTTTTCGAATGATGATTATAAAAACTTTACAAGCAACATCAAACCAAGTGTTAACACATTCTTTGACAAATTAGGTAAGACATTAACACATTATTTGATAACACATTCTCTGATAAATTAGGTAAGACATTAACACATTATTTGATAAATTAGGTCATCTATAACAATCTATGATACGCTTTTTATATTTTAAATTGTAACATTAATTATTATTTTTTTTATACATCGTAATTAACTATTATATGATATATATATATTAAATTTGGATATATTCATGGCAGAAAATAATGTAATTAATATATTCTTCTATTGTCGTATTAAATCCATCGATAATTAATTAATCGAAAAATTGGTAATTTAATCGAAACATTCAATGAAATAATATATCTATTTCAGACACCATTCGACATTTCAATTTTTCAGATCGGTCGAACGATGTCCATTCAGAATTATCGTCAACGCAAATTGATAATAAAGAGAATGAAAAGATAGATTTAAATTTGTTTTTCGAATTAAATAAAGAAAGTCTTTTACCTTACATACAGACCATACTACAAATGATAAACGAAGAGCTTGATACTTCCAGTCGAGAAACAGAATTGAATTTCGGTGAAAGTTCACTAACAACATCTGTTTTGAATAGCGAAGAAGTTACTGCTGATGTAACTGACTATAGCGAATTGGAATCTTTGAAAACTGAACCAAACAACGTGAAAAAAATTCTGAATAATAATTCGCAAGTCTTGGAAGAAACATTTGACAAAATTTTTCCTAAAACTCAAATAGAAACAGCTTCGACAAATTCACAGCTACAACAGGTTTGTACACTACCCTTTTAATTTTAATAAATTTGAATAAACTTCCAGTATTATACTAAACATTGAATTAAAGTTTAATAAAAGAATATTTTAAATATTTAAGTCTTCAAAATGATGTGATATTTAGAATATTAATACTTAAAATTGAACAATATGTAAATTTAATGAGAAATACTTACTATCTTTATTTTTTTCTTTTATTAACTATATTTTAGTATTCAGTGGCAGATGGTTTTTTAGAAAAATACAGCAACAAATGAGAAATACTCTCTTTCCTTTTTTTGTAACATAAAGAACGTTGGCTGAAAATGGTAATTTCAAAGACTAGGATGTATTCCACTATACATGCTATATATGACGTTTTGACGTAGTCTAATTGTTCAACGCAGAATAAACCGGTTTTTTCTTTCTTTTCATTTCAATACTAGGAAAGAGAATCGGGGACACCTGAGTTAATTTATGCAAACGAGGAACCTACCATTCGGTCCTTTTATAATCTGCCTAGTTACGGTGCTAGCAACGACGAAATTGATCTTCAGGATTACATACACTTCGAATACAATCAAGTGAAACGTAAAAATGGTCATGAAAAATCGGGGAACTAAAAATTAATTAGTTAACACGACAGTTAAAATTATTAAAATATATTAGTACATATTAATTATGATGTTATTATATACAATAAAATATATATGTTTTCTTGTGTTGTGCATTGTTAAAACAGAGAGAATGCGTAGATTATTACATCAGTATTTTTGTTGTATACAACACCCCGGGGCAAAGATATATATTTTCTAACATTGTGTGTTGTTAAAGTAGAGAGAATGCTTAGAGAGTATTACGTCAGTGTTCTTGGAATATTGGACATGGATGTGTAGTATGTTGAATTCTGTATCATTACTGAGACACGCAATTTCTTAGAAATAGACGAACGAAATTGTAAATATTGTACGTGGCCGCGAGGCAGACAACACCGAACAAGTCGAATATATTTACGCTTCTCAGTCGTACAGGAGCTATCGAAAGCGTAACATTCGTGCGAAATACAGTCAGTTAGGTATTAAATAAAATTTGTAAAAATGGATCGGGGGGTAGAATAATTTTTAGAGCGCAGTGTCTTTTTGTTCCGGGGTGTGTACAATGTAATGCAATAAATTTTTATATTTTCTATAACACAGTTATCTATGATATTATAATAATATATATTTATACTATATATTCTAGAATATATTATACAGTATATAACATATATACACATACGTACATACATACAATATATATGTATTATATACTATATACAATAGAGATAGATACATTATACATATATACAATGTATACACATACATGTGTGCAATATAATGACAATATAATACACATATGTTGTATATAATATAGTATAATATTTAATAAAATAGGTGTTTTATTTTTGTATGATATTTAATCATGAAAAGGAATAAATAAAGTAACCTTTCGACTAATCCACCTTTGAAAAGGCGATGGTTGTCTCGAATTGCGCTGCGAGATCTCCATTAGAAAACGAATTCATTCCTATCCATCTTATTCGACGAGATACTCTCATGCATAGTAAGTAATTGTATCTTTCACAATTACAACGGATTGTAAAACACGCAGTGTTTAAAAAATTACACTTTGAATGCAATAAATTACATATTCATCTAACCAATATATAAATTATGCATGTATCGTGACACTTTATATATTAATTGCAGGTGAAAGGGGAAAGATAGCATCTCATGAACGATTTTACGATGCGAGAACATATCTCGTCCATCCACGACGAAAAACGAGCCTCAGGACCTCTATCAAGGTAATATATTCAATTTAATTAATGATACTAAATTAATTTCATTAATGATATTATGCAACATACGTTCTGATACAATTACAGCGGCAGACCTGAAAATAATATACATTATTCACCAAACAACTCTGCATTGCAACAAATGTCAGCGAGCGATTAATTCGGCTGAAAGTGCGAGCTGAAATGAATCACGAAAAAAAGGTAAGAAAATCTTACGTAAACTGAGGAATATGTTTCCGTTCCGTCATTAATATCCTGTCATTAAATTTCGCATGTTGCACGTCCGGGAATGCGGGATGCAACTTTCTTTTGGGAAACGTTTGTCATTACGAAAACGCGGCTTGAACGCGTGAATGAATTCCGAACGAATTCGCGAATAATTACTGTCATTCTCATTCCCTTTTGCGGTGAATTGCAATTAAACGGAAGAGGTATACTATCGTTAATGAGTTATGTAATTACACGTATTAAATGAATAATTTATTATATGCATGCAAACAATTTCACGTATTATATGGTTTAACGTATCAAATGAATAAATAATTTTAACATATTATGACATAGAATTTATATAAATTATAATTAAAAAGGACTGTCGGGCATTTGTGAGAAATTTTCAATTGCATAATGAACGAAATTTTCTATTCTATTCTCAAAAATATGAATTTGCATACAAATCCAGAAAGGTCTCGTTATGAGAGTTTGAAACATTCGACAATTTTTCATCGTCTGTACGATAGCATAACCGAACGATGTTAAACTTTTGTTAAACTCTGATTTGTTAAATCGAAACTGTAGATGTTAATTGCAATTTTGAGTGTACCAACGCGTAACTGTCAATTAAAAGTTAACTCCGTTACGTAATTGGAATTTCAATTAATTAAAGGTTTGGATACATACGCTCTAATTGATGGTGCGTTTTAATTGAGGCAATATGGTGATACGAAACATAACGAACACTGAAATTTTCGTCAAATTTGCAACAACTTAATAGGTATATGTAGATGGCATAAACGCACACGAAGAATGATAAGAAACATAAGAAATAAATTATTGTTGTTATCGAGTAATTAAGATATACTTTGAAAATTTTCCCTAGAATTTTATTATTAAATTATTCCTTATTTAATTTATGATCGCGACTGAATGTTACTTAGAAATTCTTTCATATTTTTTCGATTCGAACATGGCTCGTACATTTCTTAAAAATGTTGTAACATTCGTAGCAGTATGAAAATAATATGAAATAGATTCCAATACAATTCTGATCGAAAGCATATAGAATACGATATGAAAGACGAAAGGAAAGAAAATTAAAAACATATTACGAATAAAATGACAGAAATTATATATTGTTTGTGAGAATTAATTATGTTAAAATCAGTATATATTCTTGGGTTGAATAGTTTTTAGGAAATATCTGTGATATGAAACTCTTAAGTTGTTCCATATAATAAATAATATCATTCCTCGAAGTCTCGTTTCTGCCATTTAAAAATCATAAAATTATTCTCTGTATAATTATTTTTGTACGTACAGTAATTCGCTGTACGGAAAAGTTTCTCAGATTTCATAATATCATTAAAACAAATTATTCAAATACTCTGTTTTCAGTTGCTACAAGAATTTGTACGGTTTTACAGAGAAAAAAAAATATACCGATTCAGATAATTCTTGATTTAATTAAAAATATTTTTTACCTCGAAACGACATTTCATATAAAATTTGCAAAATAATTATTTAAAATAGTTAGATTTAAAAATTGGCGTATAAATAATATTTAATACATTGATACTTTTATTTTAATAGAAATTATTTTGAGGGCGAAAAATCATTTGGAAGCTTGCAAAGTAATTACTCGCTGTACATGTAATATTGGAAAAAAGAATGAACTGCGGGAAACAATGGTCAGATATTAATTTTCCATTCTTAACTCAAATATTAAATTTCTATTCTTAGGTCAAATATTAATTTTCCATTGAAATCCTTGCTTTTACGATTTTATTGTTCTCGTGACACATAACTGAATCATTTAAAATCACGGCACATACACCTGTCATTCGTTGCGTAATAACCAGACTGCGGATTTTTATATTATTAATAATATTAATTATAATAATATTATTATTTTATATTATTAATAATATTTATTATAATAATATTATTTATAATATTAAAACATTTAATAGAAAATTTATATAGATAACGCAATACAATGCAAAAATATCGAAAATATATCTAATGTATAAAATAAACTTCTACCTAGATTCTACTTTTTAAATTACTTTTACAAAAATGTAAAAACTTGTACGAAGTTCATTGTCATAGCAACTTAACAGTACCAACAATAAGTAATCTTATATCTTACTTAGAAAAATATTCCTTACAGATAACCACTCAGATATTAAATTTCCATTTACACATTTAAAATATGTAACAACCTAATTAATACCAACAATAATTTATTCGCAATATCAAAATCTCCCTGTTCAAAGATCAAAGTTAAATTACAAATTAAATTTCCATTTACAATTCAATTTGCCCAACGTGGAACTTAATGCCACTGACAACAGCAACAATGCTACTACCAATGAGTACCTCGTATTTGTAAATTTCACAAAAACGAAATATATCGTGTTTTACTTGATTGTTGCAAAAGCCTGGTGTTCTTTAACTTTCAGCGGCGAGATGGTAGCAACCGCACGGATCATTTCCATAAGCTGGTACCATGGCAGAAGGGAAGGTGAGAAAGTGGTGGAAGTTGTCGAATATTACAACCTCGATGGAGAATGGTATCGGACTAGTCTGCTGTTGATCGTGGTACCGTGAACCACGATCTTGTTACTCCCGCGTGCACCGTGGGTATTAACACGCCGGAGGATCCTCGGTGTCGTGACTGTGAAACATAATTCGAGAGGATAATAAGGGCAACTACCATCCACAGAGGTGAGTGTCTATATCACTTCATTTATTTATTTATTAACGACGTGGAAAATTAAATCATCGAAACATTAATTAAGAGAATAACGTTGAAATTATTTCAATCGATCGTCGAGTTTGTTGAGACGCTGGATAAACACGTTTCTCTTGAGGATTAATGGATTTCAATATCGTACGTACATTTCTAATTCATTTAATTTTGATTCGCAGAAACATCTCAAATTGAAAATGTCATTTTATTTTTGATGATAGTTTTGAAGCTTGACAATGAGAAAGTTTGACAATGAAAAATGAAACATAATTTATAGTAGGGAAATATATTTCAATACATATTCTCACTAAACTTTCTTATTTTTAGTGCTAGTTATTAATGACGGTTATTAAAAATTATTGTTTGTAATTTAAAAAATATTCTTCGTTATATTCTTTATATATATATTAATTTAATGTACAGTCGCAGAGATCTGTATACATCTGTCAAATTTCTAATATTCAAAGTAGAAAAAGAATTGTTATTTATGGACTTTTAGTAATTTATTAATTAATATTGACTGTGTTATTAATTAATATTAGACGCTACATTTTATTTATTTATTTTTTTTTACTCTTATTTCATTTATATTTCTGCTCTACAAAAAATATCGTCATCTTTTCTCAAAATCTATATAACTTGAATTAATACCAGGACTACCAAACTGATCAAATTGACCAATTCGTAATTATTCACAGAAATTTTTTAACGTATTTTTAACGTAATTTAAATAAATTTTCGTAAAATATAAATGTAAGCGAAACTTTGTTTATTGTATGTCACAAAATTTTTTTTATTTCTGTTTCATGTATCTTAGTCGTCGGTATTTCTAAAAATACTTACAAAGTCATTGTTTTCCTTTAAATATTTGCAGATCATATATATATACATATAATAAAATTTAAATTATATATTATATTATAATTTAAACTTTCTTGTCTTATTTACTATCTCGTTTTTATTTCAAATCTTAAAATGGTGCGAGTGTGAAAAGAGGAATTTACAAAATTTTACGGAACGAGAATCAGATAAACAGGCTCCTTTAAAAAAGATGAAATTTCGCCGACGTCTGCGCTAATTGTTCCTGACGGGAGACACGGCGAATAAGTCGAGTTTTTTTTTTTTTTTTCTTCTAAAACGTTGCAAGACGTGTTAATTATAATCGTGAGTTCCTTTCTTTCGCGTTTTTTTCGTCGAACAATGAGAAATGAAGTCGCCGGCGAATTGTGTAACGTTGAAAAGAACGACAGAACAAGATAATCAGGAGGAATGTGGGTATATATCTGAAGTTTGAATCTAATTATTCGTGCGCTATGTGAAACATTCATCTCTAACGAAGTATAAAATCAGGACGAAATTATACGTTACGAATTGTGTAAATCCAATTTGCAATTTTCAAGAGGATAATATCCTGAGAATAATATTCTGAGAATGAAGATTTGGAATCTTTTGTTTTCATATTTTTACGAGTTTAATTTTCAAAATACGTGAAAGAACGTATTCGTTGAAATATCATTGAACAATTTTAGAACGCAAAACAGTCATTGCGATTGAGCTATTTTATTTGAAAAGTACGAGTTGATTCACCTTTCCAGTTATTTCTAATACACTATAACTGGAATCCGTAATTCTTTTAACGATAATGTCAGTTTTATTATTTTTGAACCACGAAAAGAATTCTTGATTAGGAAATGACCGAGTTCACAGTTTAAATTCTCCCACGTACATCTCTCTAGTAATGTAAAATTAATCAAATCACTCGATAATTAAACTGATAAATTTAGATACATATGTATTACGTGCGATATCTTTCGACGAAAATTTAATAAATTAATATTATATTAATATATTAAAATTTAATAAATTAATATTAACAAACGCTAAATTTACGAATCCATCAGAAATATTATATATATATATATATATATATATATATATATATATATGCACATATATAATTTTGGGGGTAAAAAGTAGAAAATATAAAAATTTGGGGGAAATGTAGAAATAATTTAGATTCTGTTCTCTAAAAAAAACTGGTTTTCTTTTCTAAAAAAAAAACGGATTGAACGAAAAATATGCCCATTTTGAGAAAAATATTAATTTAACAAAATTTCAGAAGCACCGTCTTTTCATATAAATTTCTCGTCCTATTGTGCCCTTCAAAATATGTGCACGTCGTGCTGATCCACGTACTCTTTCACCTGTCCGTCGAACGCCTCTAAAATTCGTGTGTTCAAAACAAAATTCCAATGCAAATAGAATTCGCCTCCGTTGTATTCAACGTCACAAGAAAATTACGTGCACCGCAAAATTACCTCTTGAAATCGAACGTTACAATGATTTTTCTTCGTGCATTTATACACATACATACACCGCAATAATGCCATTACAGTATTATCAACTCACGTCGAGACATACCTTGGCATTAAGAATCATGGAATCATTCTACCTTTCCCTTGAAATATTCCCACTAGGTTCATCGTACTACTTGTCTTACCATTCTCTCCAACTGAGAGCGAGTGTACAAAGATAACGGTCCATTTCTTCTCTTTTTTTCCCCTCCATTTTTTTTTTTTTCTACATCTGTTAGACAGTGTACGTATTAACGAATCACATGCAAAAGGTTCGTTACAGATGATAAAATGATACAACGATTGAGTTTTATAATTAAATATAATCGTTGATATGTTTGACGTTAACGATATTTAAAATCGGAAGCGTGTTATTCGTGAATATTTATGAACTTGTTATCGCTCGTGATATTTTTATACGTGCTGCATATCTTCAGTAATTGTGTTGCGGTGCTGGGTTTGTTTTAAATAGAGGAAAAGAGTCTTTCGTGATTTAATGAGCATTACCATTTTGGTGACACGATTGTTTTGCAAGTACATATATTGTATTATATTATATCTTTTTTATTATAGTATATCTTTGTACAACGTTGGAATAGTGAAATTTTGCACATTTTTGGCAATATTAACTTTTTTTAACTCGAGATAACTCTGCTAAATATTTACAAATTATATGATCAATTATTATATCTAATTATCTAACATCTAATTCTACTAATTCTATATTGTCTATCAATTCTCTATTATTTTTTTATTATATTAAATAGTTCAATATCGTTCAATTTCGAAAATTTATTCTCCTTTTTTTTGAAAATATTGAATAATATAATATTCTAATTTTGGTGATGTACACTTGCGTTCGAAAGTCTTAAGACAAGTATTTATATTTATTTCAAAGTTGGAAGAATACTTCTCAAATGCCAACATGTTAATAATTATAAAATACACGTGCAATTGAAAAATTGAAAAATTGTATTATCTATTATTATAATATTATATAATACTATTATAGTAGCTATTATCATAATATTAAATATTTAAAATGACAAATGTTCTAAGAATTCGAGTAGAGATGTACGTCAAATCTTGCACTCACAATCAGTGAAAATAGAAAAAAATATTAGTGGCGGTTCGTAAAAAAGAGTGAGCAATGATTTCAATTCGTGTAACACTACTATCTCACTAAGGGTTGCTATAGAAATAATATAGAAGATACTAAGAGTTAATATAGAAATAATATAGAAGATACTAAGAGTTAATATAAAAATAATATAGAAGATACTATAGGTTAATAGAAATAATATAGAAGATATTAAAGGTTAATATAGAAATAATATAGAAAAATAAAACAATATATATATTATATATAGAAATATAGAATATATTTCTATATATATTATACTATATATAGAAATAATATAGAAGGTACTAAGGGTTAATATAGAAATAATATAGAAAAATAAAGCAATATATATACTATATATAGAAATATAGAATATATTTCTATATATATTATACTATATATAGAAATAATATAGAAGATACTAAGTATTAATATAGAAATAATATAGAAGATATTAAAGGTTAATATAGAAATAATATAGAAAAATAAAACAATATATATACCACATATAAAAATATAGAATACAAATGATTTGGAATGAATATATTTGCACGAAAAAAAAAAGTACCCCGAGGCGAAAAGTATTCTTTCGTCCAACAAAATAATTTTATAATTCAGTGGACTATCGGACATCCGGTTATCATAACGGCGCAAAATGAAGCTCAAATCTTGAAGCGGTGCGATTAGAGAGGTGGAAGTAATAGAGACTTATTCTCGGTAAACGTAGAAGAAAAAGTATGTATAACTCTTGTTTAATAGCCACGTTAAAAATTACCCCTAACGGCTCGTTGCTCGTTGCACGTTACGTAAAATGGCTTGTTAAGAAAACTTTATATGAATTTTAAGGTCGAAACGCCTGGATAAATCTTGTTGCACAATTTTCTCGCTTCACGTTTTTATCGTTCACCTTCCGCCGCCTGTGTATGTGAATTTAATATTGATTTTCATGAAAACCACTTATCGTGTTACTTTTCTTACGGCGTCTCATATTGAACACTATATTTCTCAAGTGCAAGAAAATATTATGGACGTTGCTTTTTATTAGACGAGAGTTATATTCTGTTATATCCCATAAAGTGACTCTGTGGGATATAAACAAAATTGGATACCTTTTATGTTATACGTATAGAGTTCTCTGCAACAGGATAAGATTCATGTGAAACTATATTTTTGCGAAAACTTATATTTAATTGTCTAGATTTACAGTAATTGCAAAAATTGTCTGTGTGTGTAAAACAGTTTTAAGAAAAAGAAAGAGAAACAATTGTTCACCGTCAATTTGGTTCTTAAATTTGCTTCGTTATAAATAACTGTAAATTTGTTTCGTTGTTATAAATCATCATTTAATGGATTATAGTACAAGTTATCAATAATTGAATAAAAGTATTACATATTATTTTTAATTTTAAAGAAATTGGAAATATCCTTCCTTTTTCAAAAAAATTTGAGGTTTTACGAGCAATAAAATTCTAAATTATATATAATTGTATAATTATAT